AAATATGACTAAATGAACTTAACCAACCAGCTTCATTTTCTATTTTGTTTTTTTATCCACGCGTGTGAAGATTTGTTGAAAATGACACTCACTTCCACTTATTTTTCAGTTATAAATTAAGTGGAGACAAAATTAGTTGTCAATGTGATAAAAGATAGTATACTTTTTGGTGCCAATTAAGGGCACACAATCACTCCTAACCAATTCACTTTTTCGCCCTTTTTAATCACTTTTCTTAGAGTTTACTTATTAAAAAAAATATTTAACAGCCTAAATATCCTAAGTCGTACATTATAATATCTTAAAAACTATAATTATTTTCAATAACTAAATTTTTTTACTCAACTTTATAGAAATTAATTACTAGACCTTATAAAAACTATAATCAAATTTTTTTTTAAAAGGAAGAGTTTTTAAATAATTTTGACGGTAATTTTTTTCACACTTAATCATTGTAGCTACAAATATATTGAACTTAGGTGTAAGTTTTGTTTTTTTTCAGGAGATACTAATAATCTTAAACACGCTTTAATCTAAAAAAATAAAAAATCTTGTTCTTCAAATATAATTTCCCCTGTCTATAGGATATAATGACCTGTGTAAACATACAAAAAAATTTGCCTTGAATAAAATGAAAATGGATAATCTCATGTAACCACAAAAAATTGATAATTTCAAGTTAACACACACACACTCTAATGACCTTTCTTTAATTATATATAGTTCTGAAAGGTCCGAGAAAATTTGCACAGAAAAAAAACAATTCAGGATATCAAATTAAAATTTTTGTGTTAAAATATTTTAAAATTATTTTTTTTATAAATTTCTTTTTTTGGTATTTCATGTTAGGCTTCGATGGCTGAAGAGTTGGGTGGGCTCTGAATTTCACTATTAAGACTGAGAAAATCACGGGGAAAGTGAGGGGAAAAAAGGAACTTTATATATTTTATATATAAGGGTTAATTATTATAATTATTATTTCAATTCCCTTCATTCTTCACATTCTCAAAACATTTGAGTACCAATCAAATCATAATCGAAATTAACATTTGAATAAGGACAAAAAAAAAATCAAATGATATTTTTAATCAAAATTTTCCTGTATAGAGAGCATTTAGATAGTGAATGACAAATGACAATTAGATTCAGCAGAGTGAACCAATGTCCATCCATCAAAGTTTTAAATTAGACATTGGAAAATTTGTTGCCAACGTTGCTGTATGTAAGATTCTGTCACATAACATGTTTTCATGCCCTCACAACGAATAGTGCATTTCTCCGACAATTATATATAGGGCTTGTTTGAAATAGTAATTAAATCCTTGAAAACCAGTTTTTTACGATACACGAGATAAGTATGTAAAAAAAATCATTTTGACTTATATAAACGTGTTTATGATAAATAGTCAGAATGTCAACACTATTGCAATGAAACGTACGTTGCCCTACGATGATATAACAGTTTGCGGTTTAGATCTGGTCTGCATGGGATTGGCATTCAAACGATAAAAAGTCAGTTATGACAAAAAAAAGTACCTCAATGAAGAAAAGAATTATGTTTGGCCCAAAAAAAAAAGAAGAAAAGAATTATGTTTGACATCGCTTGAGGTAATTTTACTTTTTGCCCAAAGTCATTTTAAAATTAAGGCAATATTTTGAAACTGGCTTTTTAACATACTCCTCCGGTCCTTAATATAGGACTCAATTCTTGAGTTGGTTTTGGTCCTAAATATAAGACCCATTTTTCATATTTATCAATTTTCTCTAAATTACCCCTATGGATACTCTATCAACCATAATCAAATGAAGAGGGAGATGAGGTATTAAGAAAGGTGATTATGGTGTTTTAGGAAAAATGTGTCATTTTTCTTATAATTAACTAACTTACCTAACTTCCTTAATCTAATCAAATTAGTTAAATGGGTCTTATATTAAGGACTGGAGGAGTATTATCTAAGCGACTCCTACATCATACGCTCTTAGGTGATGTTAATATTAAGTTGAACGAACTTACGTTGTACTTTTAGACGTTAACCTAAGCACTCCTATTGAATTGAATCTCTTCCTCTTTAGGATTAAGTTCATTGGAAGAGACAGTAATGGTGTTGCTGATGTATTAGGAAAGAGGGGAATTTCTTCCTCCGAAATGTTCGATGCGTGCCCTGCGGAACTAGGGGACCTTGTGCAGAAAGAATGTCTGGGATCTAATCTTCTTCCTATTTAGTTTTTCTCTTTGGGCTTGGCGCTCTTTTGTAGGAAAAAAAAGGTGAGAGTGTTTTTTTTTGATAAAAAAAGGTTTAGGTGAGTTGGATCCTGAGGACTCACTGGAACTATAAAGTGTTTACAGAGGTACTTACAGATCGCCCACCAATAAGGTCCTTACATCTGCAGCGGGATTCAAACTCACGATCTTGTGAGTTATAAATCGACTCCTTACTAACTGGATCAACTCTTGTTGGTAGAGTGTGGTTTTCAATGCCAGATCCCCAAACGTTGTTGTTTTCAATCTTAGTTTTCGGTGTTATTGTACGAGGGGATATATATGATTTCAATGGAAGCCCAAGTTGATACAGAAAGCCTGCTCTTTCCTATCACTCAAGCCCAAAAATCAAGAGACTGTCAGGATGTGTACCAAAAACCAAAAAGAAGGGTTAGTACTTTGGGAAATGCTAGGGGAAGGCCACCCAGGCATAAAACTTTTGGGCCTCCTTCATTAACATACAAAAATGACCTAGTACCCAAAAAAAAAAACATATTTCTTCAAGCCACACAAGCCAGCTCCTGTAATTTTTAATCTTCTCCCAATCTTTGTGATTTAAAAGGAGCCTGCTGAAAAGAAGTCGACAAGTGTAAATAAAACAACAGCAAAATGGACAATAAGATGGTCTAAAAAAATTTAAAAAATAATTTATAGACATTAAGATTAGTTGAATTAATTATTCACAACAAGCGTGTGTTGATTTTCTAAAATAAAACATCCTTTTTAATTAATTATCACCCTCCTTGATAGAAACCTCTTCAATATATATGTACGTAATCAGTAGGATGGTCAAAGCAAAATTTATAAATCTGTTGAAGTAAGGCGGACTGAGATTTATATTTAGCATTGAGATGATCCCATAAACTGACTCCTAGATCAAAAGAGTATCATACTAAAATATGTAAAAGATGGGTGTAAAGCCACTCATAAGTTTTGAACAATACAATTTTTGTCAAGAACACAAGTTCTGTTCATATAGTTTGTCTTGTAGTTGACTTCTTTTGAAAGTCCCAAATATATATGTGTGCGTGTGTGTGTGTGTGCGCGTGTGCGTGTGCGCGTGTGTGTGTGTGTGTGTGTGTGAAAATGGTAAAGTGGGCGGCCATGAGGTGCTTTTCCATTGAGTGAGCATTGGTGACCCCACTCACTTTGTGAGAGAAGTTGAGTTGTTATCAAAAAGAAATGAGCACAAGACACATACGATAGCTAAGGAGCGCTCCATTTGGAATGGAATATTGTTTTTCCCACTAAGGACATATATGGTGGGCCTATAGATGGCTCACTTCTTTGCATAGCATGCCAAAATTTCACTTCACAGACAACTGCTATGAATCATCAATAAGAGTTGATCCGGTTAGTAAAATCAGCTCATAACTTATAAGGTTGTGAGTTTGAATCTTGCTTCCGATGTGAGAATATTATTGATAAGCAATGTATAAATAGTTCTATAAGTGTTCTTTGAGTTTAAAGGTATGCCCTAACTTTGGTGAGTTTTCAGGACCTAACTGGCATAAACATATTTTTGTATTAAAAAACTGTCATGAAATTTGAATATATTATATTAGGTAAGACTAGACGTTGCTGCCATTGATATGTAAATCAAAGAGAAGCTGCAATAAGTAATTATCTTATTTGAGATAAATCATAAATGTGTCACTTGGATGAAAAGGATTCTCCAAATATTTTGGATTCAAAATGGCTACGGAGTTTTTGAGTATCAGGTAGTGTAATAAAGAGATTAAAGTCTCTACCAGAATAAGAAATACATTAAAGTCAACATGTATAGTAAATCAATTGTCACACTCCCCTCAATCCTATCCAAAATAAAAGAAATTAGAGGATTTATGATGGTTGATTGGTTCATCACCTTTCATGGATATTGAGAAAAAGAAATAAGTGCATGGGCTGTTCTGATCATTAAGCTTGTTATATGGAAATTGTTTGATACCTTAGCTTTAGAGGATAGAGATGTTTTGCATGGCAAAACAAAGAAGATAGAGATATTTTGATTCCTATAAATGTAATATTTTATACTACCTCCGGTCTTAATTATAAGAGCCAGTTGACTAATTTGAAAAGACTAAGGAAGTAAGTTGAGTTAGTTATTTATTCTAAATAGACATTGTCTTTCCTAAAATATCCTTACTAATTAAGTGTATTGACTAGAACTATCATTGTTATAAGGGCTACTTTGGAAAAAAAATGTATAAATGAGAGACAAAGTGGATTGGGGTCTTATATTTAGAACCAAAATAAAAATCAAACAGGATCTTATATTAAGGACTGGAAGTAGTATTAATGAGTAAGAGAGTCCTCACATATCACAAGAAATTTGAAAAATGTATATTAAAATTATTTATAATTAAATAATACTCCTCCTCCTTATTATAAGACCCAATTTGACTTTTTATTTAGTCCTAATTATAAGACCCAATCCATTTTCTCTCTTATATTTATGCATTTTTTTCCAAGACAATCCTTCTAATAATGATAGTTTTAGCCAATATACTTAATTAGCAAGGATATTTTAGGAATAACAACACTTATTTATTAAAAATAACCAACTTAACTTACTTCCTTAATCTCCTCAAATAAATCAATTGGGTCTTATAATTAGGACCGGAGGAGTATAAGAATTTAATGAGTTTAATGAATATTTTTAAATTTTGAATTGTTGGGGACACTTTCCCAACGACTTCTCAATGGAAATAGAATTTGCAGAAGGCGAGAGCCACCTTTATATTGTTGCAACAGCGGGCGATGCAAAATGAAGGGAGGCCCCATATACACCTTCTACAAACAAACTTGTTCTTTTCTCTCTCTATTTCTCGCTCTCAAAAGCGAGACAGAAACATAGAATGAGAAATAATCGAGTGTGCAAGCCATATCATACCTTTCAGGAGACCATCACTCTCAAACTGCAACGTGATTAACCTTTCTCTTTTTTTGGATTTCGTTTCATTTTATTTATTGATTGATTTCACCAGAAATTCCTCATTATTTTAATTTTTCTTTTCTGGATTTTCAGTCCTCGTGATCATCAGGTTTTGCGAGGAATTTTGCTGGTTTAATCATGCCGCCAGCTCTCACGGATCCTCCATTGTCAGAACCGTCATCGGTGCTGTCGTCCAGCTCTGACTATGTCTCTCGAAGATCCGCGCCGGAGAATCCGCGTTTCGGAGACCTCAGAGGGTTGCAGTGGCGCATAAATCTTGGGGTTTTGCCATCTTCATCAACTTCTATCAATGATCTTCGTCGGGCCACCGCTGAATCTCGAAGGAGGTAATTCAGGTTCATGATCACGTCATAGAGTTTTTATCTTTAATAAAACTACTATTGTTATTATAATAATAGGGATATGCATTTCTCTTTTACTTGGCTTTTCATTCCAATTTTTATCCTCTTATTTCTCAGTCTCAAGGGGAACTTGGGCAGTCCAAATCTTAATGTGTGTGTGAAGAGAAAGACCGTTTTCTCTTTTACACGTCATGACTAGTGAAATTTTCGCTAGAATTTCATAGGAATTGATTGTGGTAGGTTGATTGTATTATACTGATTGTAATCAGATCTTGTTTGTATTTCCAAGGCTGCATGCTGACGTGAATTTCGGCTGCACTATTTTGGTTAAAATAAATACTTTATTATCATCCTTTTTCTGTCTCAAATTGACCTTATTTCAAAATACTGCGGGAAAATTCATACTCTGCTTACTATTTAATAGGTGAAAATAGAAAGATTATTGACCTTGGTTTTCCTTTGGCATCTATGCTGGTGTGTGTGATTTAATTATTCAGTATTTATCTGGACTCTTGCTCTCTATACTGTTTTCATAATGAAAGATGAGTTGTGACATTTAGGTATTTGTGAATATATATTGTGATTTCATACTAGAATCTACTGCATATATGTTCAGCTCATTGCATTTTGTTGTTGATTTTTATTTTTCCATATTATCTTGCTAGGTATGCTAATTTGAGAAGGAGCCTCCTGGTTGATCCACATACTCCCAAGGATGGGGGTAGTTCGCCTGATCTTGTTATGGACAATCCACTCTCACAAAATCCAGGTAAATTTTACTGTTTACAATCCATTCCAGTACCTAAAATGTGGCTGGTCAAATCTATATATCTGGTTATAGATCCTCAATTTAGCCAATATACACTTTTAGTAATGGACATTGCTAATATACACCTTTTTTTGCCCTTACAAACCTTTTCCTCTAACTAGAGCCTCATCTCTTGGTATTCATCGAGTTCTTTCCATATTATAGACATATTGCTCTTTTGTTCTTTCCATGTTATATGCATATTGATCTTTTATCGAGGGTTCATAATTGGAAATTTAATTTGTTACGGTGGAAGGTATAAATGCTTATTTAATGACAACTCAATCAATGAGAAAATTTAGCAACAAATAAGTGTCATTGAGGTAAAAAAAGAATCATGCATAGAGGGAAAACAACTAATCTATGTAACCCCTTACTTTGTCTGCATGAGCAATGCTACTTTATCTTGTGATGAGTATAATATGACCTTTATAAGCAGAGAGTACATGGAGTCGCTTTTTTCGTAATGCGGAGCTGGAGAGGATGGTCAATCAGGATTTGTCACGTTTATACCCAGAACATGGCACCTATTTCCAAACACCAGGATGTCAAGTCTTGTTAAGACGGATCTTATTGCTGTGGTGTGTCAAGCACCCAGAGTGTGGATATAGACAAGGTAAATTGCTGAGCGAAGCAATTCATTCATTATAATTAAATTCAATCACATTTTGAATATGCTATCACATGTTGCAACTGGGTTCGTTGCCACCCCCACCTCTCTTGATCTTATACAAGTAATATTGATGCAGCTATGCTAGTCACGTTGAATATGCTCTGATCTTACTCAATTGCATGTTAAAATATTCATGCAAAACATAAATACTGCGATGCTATGAGTAATGGGCTTTGCTTGAGAATTTTTCTATCATATATTCTCAACTCCCATTATGTCTCTTATTTCACTGCCTTGATTACTGCCACCAAAATTGGATATATGTGAATCTTTTACCCAAACAATTGTCTTTCTTCTTCATTTCCAGATTTGTCCTTATTTGGAAGGGGAAAATAGAACTGAAACAAAGTGACTAAATGGGAAATCTGTCACTTGGTAAAATGTATCTTTCATTCACTTTGCTTGCATGATTTCAGAGTCAGCTAACTAGTACTTGAGTATTAAATGTCATGCAAATTGTTGACTTCCAATTATTTAGCTTCATTCATTGTCTTATTTACAGGTATGCATGAATTACTGGCTCCACTGCTGTATGTTCTTCAAATTGATGTAGAGCATCTCTCAGAAGTTCGGAAGTTATATGAAGATCACTTCACAGACACATTTGATGGTCTTTTGTGTCAAGAGAATGATCTTTCTTATAACTTTGATTTCAGAAAATCCCCAGATTTGTTGAACGATGAAATTGGCTCCCCTGGGAGTGCAATGAAAGTCAAGAATCTTGATGAGCTTAATCCTGAGATACAGACCATTGTTTTGCTAAGTGATGCTTATGGGGCTGAGGGTGAACTGGGCACTGTGTTGTCTGAGAAATTTATGGAACATGATGCTTATTGCATGTTTGATGCTTTAATGAATGGGACCAATGGTTCAGTTGCGATGGCCGATTTCTTCTCTTTTTCCCCTGCAGCTGGGTCTCATACTGGCTTACCGCCAGTGATTGAAGCTTCTACTGCATTGTACCATTTGCTGTTCCTGGTGGATTCATCTCTGCACAGCCATCTTGTTGAACTTGGGGTTGAACCCCAGTACTTTGCTCTCCGCTGGTTGCGAGTTTTATTTGGAAGAGAATTTTCACTTTACAACCTCTTGATTATCTGGGATGAGATCTTTGCGTCAGAGAACTGTAAAGTGGAGAAAGGTCCTGATAATGAGAGAGACTGTGGATTTCAGATCTTGTATTCCCCTCGTGGGGCATTTATATCTGCACTGGCTGTAGCAATGTTGCTTCATTTGAGATCATCACTACTCGCTACTGAAAATCCAACAACCTGTCTTCAGAGACTACTAAACTTCCCTGAGGACGTCAATATTAAGATACTACTTGAGAAGGCTAAATCCTTGCAGGCTTTTGCATTGAGCGCTGAAATTTTGTCTTCATCACCTTCATATGTACATACATTCAGTCAAGGTAAATTGATGTTTCTGAGATCTCAGACCCTTCCATCTGAATCTGCTTCTCCAAAAACACCTGTGAGCTTGTTACCTGATAGCTACTGGGAGGAAAAGTGGAGAGTTGTCCACAAGGCTGAAGAACCTATGCAGCAAAGTGTAGAAAAAGAGGTTCCAACTCAGAAAAAGGGATGGACTGAAAAGATAAAGTTCAGTCTGAAGAAAGCAGGGTCTGAAGCTTCTCGTTTGATGGTTAAGAAAGGTCAAAAGGAATCAGAGGAATCTGCCAGGCACAGTTTGATAAAAGATCTTTCTAGGGAACTTGGTTTTGAGGAACCTATAGGAAAAATGCAATGCCATGAAAACTTATGCCAGCAGGAGAATCATTCTGTAGAGACTGAAGAGGAGCAACAAGACGGAAGCCATGAGGGCAACAATTACCCTATCGAGGATAGATGTCTAAGTGGAAGTACTGGCAGTGATGGGAACTTGTCCATATTTTCTATCCCAACTTATTCTGTTAATGAGGTCAATGATCATGATAATGAGTTAGATGGTAGTGCCACATCTCAGTTTTTGCCTGATGAATGCCATGAAAATTCACACCCTGGTCCAATTGAATCACCTCTTCCAATTTCTGACCCCCCTCCGAACTTGTGTGATACATCTGGATGTAATAATGATACCACAGGAAATTCACCCTCCACTGTTGGGGAGAGAGAACTGAATAGATTTCAGTGGTTATGGAAGGTTGGTCGGAATACTGGTGAGGTTACATCTGAAACAAGTGGTGATTGTGAGGATGCAAAATCTGCCAATAGTTCTAATAACCAAAGTAATACAACAGCCTCTTCCACAGCTAATGGGCATTTTAGTTCTGCCGGTTGCAAGGGGGATTCTGTAGACCAGAATATGATGGGCGCTTTGAGGAATATCGGGCAGTCTATGCTTGACCATATTCAGGTGAAGTTATTTCTAACTCTAGCTCTGGAATCTGATGACAATTTAGCGGGCAGAGATATGTTGCAGTCTGAATATTTTTATTTTTATTTTTATTTCCCGTTTTCTCTGAATGAATACTGAAAATTGTTTTGAAGCTCATGATTTCACTGAAGGTTTTGGCAATCAGGTTTTCTTATACTAATCAAAATCACAACATACTCTTGAGGCAAAAAGTGTTTCTCCACGTTTTTTCTTTGGGGAACCTTAATAGCAAACACACAAGAAATTTTACCATAACAGCCAGTTTCTAAATCACTACATTTCGTACTTCAGGTAATCGAGTGTGTTTTTCAACAAGACCGTGGCCAAGTAGCCCCATTGGAGAATTCAAAAAATGCTCTGGTCGACAAAGGGCAGGTTACTGCCATGACAGCTCTAAAGGAACTTAGAAAGATCAGCATTCTTTTGTCAGAGATGTGAGCCGAATATTACATTAACCTGTACATACGTTTTGTTTTAACGACTCTTATTCACAATAAAAAAGTTACTAGTTTTGACTTTTGAATATGTTTGGTGTGTCATGTATATGTATAGTGCCTAGGTTATATACGAGCGTGTGTGTGTATACTCGCACGCTTACATATGGCATAGTATTTTTTTTTTTTGTTCAGAGTATCCTCCTCACGATAAGAGATTAATTTCTCAGGTTATTATCAGGTGCCATGGCAAGATCTTCATTTGTTACTGCATGAGTTTTGCTCGCGAGTTGGTTTGTAGAACTGGCTTATTGGGGTTGCAAAATATTTATTAGATAATTCAGTCACAGCCCCTCTGCATGGCCCGACGAAGTTGTCTGACTATTTGGAGAAAGATTACATGAAAATATATTTCTGAGTAGTAGTGTCTCTTTAACTTGGCTTTGGAAGGATATGTTTTTTAAGCTCTTCTATTAAATGGTCAAGTTCGTTTTTAAACTGAAAAACAAATCATTTAATATTTTTAATTATTAAAAAAAAAGAGCTTTATGTAAAGTCAAGAGCTAAAATTATTTCATATATACAAATATATAAATTCTTAATAATATAACAATGTCGCAAGCTCCCCGCAAAACGAGACACGTTGCCTCCACTTATTCAACATAAAAATTATAAATCAATTTTATTCTTTTCCCTTTTACTAGTTCGGCAGTAAAAAGCTCAAAGTAAATTCAATGATTCTTATAAATAGTTAAAGATTAATTAAAGTTCGAACTTTTGACTAGAAATACCCATCAATTTACGATTAAACCAGTCCAAGGAAAAGGACAAAATGTTTGTCTGCAATGCTTTTTAAAAAATGATACAATAAACCGCAAAAAAACAAAACAAAAAAACCTAGGAAGACGCGCACTTCGCTATGAAGAAGTACCCAACTCAATCTGAAATAACAAGGGGAAAAAAAACTGGCATCCTTTAATTGCACCATAGCAATTATGTAAGAAACTACAACGCTATGAAGTTCATATTCTACACGTTTATTTGAGAAGACTCTCTCCCTCCCATGTATCTTGCAAAGTAAAAATCAATCCATATGGTTATGGAATCCAGGTAGTAATGAGGTTATAAATCCAAAGACAATCATCTGGACCTCCTTCACAATTCCCCACCATTGATTACCCCCATTGCCTACCTCTGGCTGTGCCACATTTTCATTCTCAACCACTCGGTCTGCCTCGTTAGCCGCCGGCTGGTTCTGGTTCACCATCCCACCTTGGGGTTGAACCTCTGTAACAAGAGCAAAGACAAGCAATATTAATATCACTATCATCAGGGTTGTATTTGGATTGTCTGACATATTACAAGAGACTAACCCTCCATACTTTCTTTCTTTTTTTTTGGGGGGGGGGTTCAAATTCCACTTCTTTCAGTACAAATTTATATTCTAGCTTAATAACCTCAGTGCTTAACTAGACACTTTTCTGCTGGTAAAAAAAAAAAAATCTAAACACACTTTTCAAGTGATCCAAAATGAAATGTACTTTACCATCAGAAACAATGCATCATTACAACAAATATATTTCACAAATGATATCGTAAGTACCAATAGCATCATCACAGAGGTTTCTAACTCCAACCACAAGAAAACATGTGCACAAAATGAAAATCAATAATACCTGCGGGAACAGCATTGTCAACTCCCTGCCTGGCAGCAGGAACATTTTCAGCCCTGGCTGCAGGTCTTGGTGGATGAGGAGGTGCAGCCGCTCTCTGCATGCCTTGTGAAAGCCACCTTACGATTGGTGTCAAAGCTCCAGTTTGGTATCTGTAACACATTTCACCTAGGTTACAACCTCAGCCACCATTCATAGTTTCACACAACTTGACCATTGCTATTTTAAATCATTACATGTAACATAACGTTCACCCACCCACTTACATGAAGTCCACATAAAACAACACCCTCAACCAGGTATACTAAATGGAAAGATTGAACTATTATATAGAGAAGGAGAAGGGAAATATTATCCATATCAAGAATATATAATATACTGCTTTTGAGTAACAGTTAAGACATGTGGTAGAAGTTTCAAGTGGAAAACATCTAAAAACAAGGAACCAGAAGGTTACTTACAAATATACAATAGAAGCAAATAACACAAGGACAATAAGCCTCTGCCTTGATCCATCTTGGTTGAACAAAAATATCACAGCTGCCAGCTTCAACATTAGGAACAAATCAATTTGAAATGCAATTTGAAATCTCCTAACAACAACTTGTCTTTGAGGGGCAGGCTGCTGCTGTTGATGTTGCTGTTGTGCTGCTTGCCCCTGATTTTCAGCATTAGTACTAGCCTCAGAGGTTGGCCTACTGTTGATGGATCCAATTGAACGGAAAAAATATCATGAAATAGTCAGCCTTTTTAATTATCCAAAAGAAAATATGGACCACAATTAGAGCAATCACATCTATTCACCACTACCGCTTTCTATTTTTCCTCTCTCAAATTCAGGTTTGCCTTAGATTAAAACAACCACCAAACAACACCGGACTAAAAGAGAAATAAGATGCTAATCACTCGACCAAATGATAACCGAAGAACTGCACACAAGACTACCATAATGACAAGTACCAACATTAATGAGACCAGAAAATTGTACAGCTACAATGAATAATACATTTACAGTAAAAAAAATCGTCAGAAATCACCAAATCCGGCGTTTTACAGGGAAACACAAAAATTTATGGGTTCAGAGAATACTTACGTGGGTGTATTGTAGGTCAGAGGAATCAGTGTATTATATGGTATTCCGGTTACATGCCCCATATATGGGTTTACAGGCACAGCATATATGCCTGCTCCGCGGTTCCTATGTTCTTCGTTTTGAGGAGGAACAAATCCTGGAACTGGGACGGGGTACATAACAGGATACATTTGATAATAACCATCTGGGACTGCCGGAAAATTGTAAAATGCCGGGATCTGTGATAACAAAACATCCCAACAAAATCGTGAATTACTGGAGATGGTCAACTAGATGCACTTTGGATCATAAAAATATTTCACACGCCTAAACAATTACATAGTCAGATAATCAGTTCAAATTACAAACGATCAAAGGTGCAAAATAAAGTTAAAACGTTTTTAGGAATTCTCAGCATATCCTTCTCCTAAGGCCAGGCATCGGTAAGAAACAAATTACATTCTTTGCCATCGGCCACAGATTTCGCTTAAATTTGTTTTCTACAAGCGTTTTACTATGGAAAAAAACGGATATAATATGCCAATTGAACAAAACACCAACTAGGTTCTGCTTTTGTACTCGAAAGGCTTCAGAGGGAAAAGAAATCCCGATTTCACAACCAATTCAATCAACAATTGGCTTTCTACATTTGGTGATGAAGCAATCAAAGGCACAAGCGAAGTGTCAGGTGCTGAAACTACGAAAGGAAAGTGAAACAGCAGAAAATTGCCAGTACCTGGGATTGTTTGAAAACTTCTTCGGTCGATTTCTGTGGAGGAGAAGAGGAGGAAGGTTGTGAGCTTGACGACGCCGTTTCGGCCGAGTTTTCCCCCATAATAGAAAATAGTCAAGGAGCTTCGTCCCAACAAGAATCACCTTCCTCAGGTCTCTGGGATTGAATCTGGAAATTGGGGAAGACACAAAAGGATGTTTCTTCGTTGCGATCGCGGGAATTTACTGATTTTCACGGCGACTTATTACGTGGACCGGCAATTTCATCCAATGAAAGCCCGACACGTCGTACAAATGACGAGGATTTCAATTTTTGTTCCGATTTTGTACTCAGAAAGCACTCAATTTATAGATAATTTATAGATCGCGGAGTCCAAGTTAGTGCGGGATAAAAGCTTTATCCAAAAAAATGATATAATTACAGATATTTTGAAATCCTTCAAATAAAACTTCACTTTCTACATTTGACATTTTTAAATTTGCTTGATATTTTTTCAAATTCAAAAGAATTAGATTATTTTATTTTTTTCAAAAAGCCTAAATAAATTAATAAACTATCTTCACGATTGATATAGATTAATAACAATTGATACATTTGTTGTAATTGTACTTGGTGGAAAAAAGAGAGGAACCCAAGGATTTTTTTTTTTTTTTTACCAGCCTAGGGGTCATCCCTAGGTAAACCATATGTGCTAGGCCAAAAGCCCACTTGCAAAGAGACCTTTACGTTCTTAACTCAAATCACAAAACTCTTTCCTTTTTATTTTGAGTACGTGAATGTGGTTTGAACAAATGTTAAGAAAATTAGTTAATTTAGCTATCAATAACAAATATAAATTGATTTTATTAAAGTACTGCCTCTAGTTTTTGATATAAAATCTCGTTTAGTTTTCATTTTGATCTTAAATATAACACACCAATTCACTTTGTCTCTCATATTTATTCATTTTTTCTTAGGATAGTTATTGTGATAATAATTGTTCTAGCCAATACACTCGATTAGCAAAAATATTTTAAGAAAGACAACATTTATTTATTGCAAATAGCTAACTTAATTAGTTTCCTTAATTTACTCAAATTAGTCAATTAGCTCTTATATTAAGGATCGGAAGTAATGTTATTTTTAATCAAAATTATCCTTGGATAGAAACCCATTGACATGCGTAATCAATAAGGGATGTTTTAGAGAATGAATTACAATTTTGGGGGGTCAAAGTGGATTGAGAACATATATGTAGAACTAAATTTAATTTCCAACCAGGGGAGGTAGTATTATTTATATCTTCCTTCACATGAAGAGTTCATAACTCATAAGTCGAAGGTAATAGTATAGTTATATATGACCTTTTTTTTTAGTTTTTTAAAATTCTTGCAGGAGTGGGATAATTGTACGAGTTTTCTGAAATAAGGGGTGAGTTCCATGATGGGCTGCATCCAAGTCGCATGAGCAAATTGGGTTAGGTTCCCGGGGGCTCCGAGGATCTTGTATTAGATACGAGCAAAACAGAGTGTGCAAAGAGCCTTGCGTGTGAATCTTTTGGGACTAGGATACCTTTGGTGTGCCTCCAAAAATGCAATAGAATGACCAAGAACTCATTTAAAATCACGTTTGTTTATTCACTAATCTATATGTTATAGTTAATTTAATTATTTTTTTAAACTTAGTTAGTTAAGTTTTATATTAAAAACAGAATGAAATATTTAATATTAATAGTGAATAATAGTTAACTGTTTTTCTAATTCTACATATACGGCTTATTTTATAATATAATTTATCTTATAAAATGAATTTTATGTTTAGATTTAGGATGGAATGAGTGTATTTTTTTTTTTCCAAACAATTGAATCCAATTTGCTCACCAATCAATTGTATTCTTTATTTCTTTCTCTGCTTAGTTTTACTTTAGCTTAATTTTTCTTTCTTTCTTTCTTTCTTTCTCTCTTTTGTTATGAAAAATTCTCGTTGGAGGGAGGCCCACAAACTCCGAGTCGCCAGCCACCCTCTCTCCCATATATTCGTAAACTCCCACCGTTTTTTCCCGGCCGTGACCGGGAATTTTCTGTCTCCTCTCTCTCTCTCTCTCGATCTCTATCATGGCGCGGTTCCTCTGTCGTACACTGCTCCGCCACGGTCGAACCGCTGCCGCCGCTTCCTTCTCCTCGGTCGACCCAAAGGTGATTCGACCTTGCTTTTCTCTTCAACACCATCGGCACCGATCATCCAAGGCTTCCAAACCCCAGCTCATCCAGATCGAGTTAGGCTCATCTTCTTCGTCGTCAACCTCGTCTTCTTTGAATGATGGCGACTACGAGTTGGCTTTGAAGAGGTTCGATGAGCTTATTCAGCGTATTCTGGTGAAGAAAGCCACACCCGATTGGTTGCCCTTCGTCCCGGGCTCGTCGTTCTGGGTCCCGCCCCGAGCATCGTCTCCCGGAAATGTGGTGGACTTGGTTGAGAAATTGACGAATGATCTAAGCGACGAGGAATACATGTCCATTACCTCGCTTCGTGGTTGGCCCTGCTCCAATTTCTTCATCAAAGGTACGATGCGACTTCCTAGATTGTCTTCTGTTTCTCATTTTGGGGTCATGGGAAATGCCAAGGATGAGATTCTAGGCGAGGATTGAAAAGCTTGTGTGGTGTTGTTTATTTTGTGACTTTATTTTAATTGTTCAATATTTTCTGAAATTGATAATTGTGATTTTCACTTGTTGAGAAAAAGTGGAAGAAGAGGAGGATAAAAGGGAAGTCATATCATAATTGCAAGACTTAAAGGAAGAGACTTATCCTCTTTCATTTTGCTTTCCCTTTTTGATTGGTTGGAAGGTTACAATTGTATCATTTAGATATTGAAAGCTTGAAACTGGGTAGTTGAAATTTGAAGTGCAGCATGATGGGTGCTGCATACTCTTTGACACCTCTGAATGATGCATCTGATGATGGGTCTAATAATCTCTTTAATGATCTTAACATCTTTGGCTTTAGTTGTTTTGTCTCTGTAGATAATAATATTGAGGCAGCTCTCACATTGGTGTTTAAAATTATAGGATTGAGCATTTTGATTATTAGATGTAATTTAATGCTTCTTTTGTTTGTTAATTGCATGCTCATGTGTTGAAACTGGTGTCGCTGATCTAGTTAGTATGAGCTTAGAAAGTTTAACATGCTTATATCTTTGTGGCTTCAGAAAATGAATCTGCTCATATGGATGCTGATGTGGAGTTAAGTGGGCCAGAAGAGATGGGGGTGAGAGTACAGGTCAAGGTTTTAACAGTGCCAGGAAATGTAGCTCTGTCAGAAGATGAGGAAAGCTGACACATAATTTAATTGAACCGGTTACTGTGGTGAGCAATATTTTAATCTTATTATTATCGAGAAGCAAATACTTCTTAAGATGACTAATTTGTAAACATAATTTTGATTCTGAAGATGTATAATATGTGCTTTCTTTCGTCTTCCATTGCTTGATGTTCTATACTCTTCTGATAAGCTGTGTCACTCTTCTCGCTGTTCAATTTGTGTTAGTTCAGATAATGATGTTGAAGATATTTTGAGAGTGTTTTGGCATATTATTAAATGAAGGAATTGGGGCGGCATGATTTAAGAAAAATGCTATATAGCAAAAAAATCCTGTAGTTATCTATATTGAACCTCTAAACATGTCTGTGGGGTACCAGGGTAAAAACTGTGGATGCTGGTACCGGACTCTTAATGTTTGTACAAGAGGACTTCTAACGCATATCATCAATGCAAATGTCTCTGGATGTTTCAAGTATTATTGTACTGTTCCAGATGTTAATGATAAAGGTACTTATCTGTTTTCTGAATTGAGGCCCAAGGACATCTATGCCTTCTGCATTTTTTAACCCAAAAAAAGGGGAGGCCAAAAGGGAAATAATGATAAGTGTTTTTATGTGGTATCATGTCATGTCTTTCTGAGCCAAGGCAGTATTACTATGAGAAGTGAATAAAAGAAGCTTTAACTTTTGCACTTTGTATGGGGCATTCCTGTGTGTTACATGTCCCATGGTCACAGCCTTAGTTTACCTATTTGCGTTTCTTGTTTACTTATTCTTTTTTGATACTCAATTATCTATCCAGCATGACCTTTTGGTGAAGGGTATATTTAAGGAGTTGGTTGTCAATACTCAAGAGAACACAATAAAGTTGTGCAATTCATGTAACCAATCCCATCTAATGAGACAAAGCTTGATGTTGAATCAAAATTTCTTTTTCGCTCTCAAATGTTGATCACTTACTTTCCTTCTTTGGCAAATACTATATCATTCTAATCCCTTTCTTTTCCTTTCCAAATTGATACCTACACAGGATTTTCTGGATTGCAGCTTCAGCACATCCAGGATTGAACAACTTGCATGGAAGGTCAATGCAAGGACAAGGCAAATGGGTTATGGGGGTCCATGCAATTGCAGTACTGGTTGGTTTGTCTTGGGAATACCCTTCTCACTCTACTTGGTCTCAATGCCATTTGTTTATATTTAGTTGTTGACCAGGTGGTCAAATTGAGAATCATCAGTGTGTATGTTGGGTATTTGCGAGGATATGTTGAACTCTTCTCATGTTCGAGGAAATGTATGTATTTGTTCATGGAAATTGATAAAAGCATTTTCTTCTCTGTGCATTTTTAGGGATGAAGAACTTAAATCAATATACACACATATGTGATGAATATCTCGAAAGCTGTATAATCAAATCTAATCTAGTAGCATTTACAAATTATAATCAAAGCAATTCATTTCTCAATTTCAGTGTAATGTGAGGCCCAAGTATTTGTTAAATCATATCCCAGTGTGTTATGAAAAATGCAACTTAGATTGATGAGTTGGAAAATGGGTATCAAAACCGTCAGGACTCTAGAGCGACTGGGATAAGTATTATAAGCAACATTCTCCCTTATCTTGCCGGTAGACAATCATAAATATGTAGACATTTTTCCTAAGTTATTGGGGGTTGAAATCTGAAGGACTTCCTTTTCCTGGGTGGTAAATAATAACCAATTGACCATCAGTGAGCAGTGAGCACCAAGCAAGGGACCAAATCTATGGTAAATTGCTTTCCCTCCACTAAAATAAATAACTAATTTACAGAAATTAAAAAAATTAGTTAAATTAATTATTTGTAAAGTAAAAGTGTGTTTGATTTTTTTAAAGTACTCTCTAATCATTTGCTTGGAAATTATTTCTTGATGAAATTTTTTTTTAACACATACAATTAAAAGAGAAAGTTTGGAAAAAACAATTATAAATTTAGAAGATAAAATGAATTGAAGTATTACATTTAATCTTTAATATAAAAGCTAGTTAGCTAATTTAAGTAGATTAAAAAAATTAGTTAAGTTAATTATTTGTAAAAAATAGGTATTATTTTTTCTAAAATATTCTTGTTAATCAAGTGTATTAGCTAGAACTACTATTATTACAAGGACTATTTTAAAAAAAAAAAATTGAAGTTTTATATTTAAGATAAAAATAAAAATCAAATTAACTATTATATTAAGGATCGGAGGTAGTATTACATTTAGAATTAAAATAGACTTTTATGTGAGCTTTTATATTTATGATCGAAGGGAGTATTGACAAAAAATGATCAAATAATGTGATTAAGTGATAAAAGATCATTTTTATTGTATGGATAATGGGTGTAAGAGTGTAGTGATCAAGTTTTTCACTGTTTTAAATTTTAATTGGTTAGGGATGCATTAATGAAAATCGAAAGATGCAATGATTTTATGGCTCAGGCCATGGCAAGAAAGATGCAGTGTCCCGAACAAGCCCGCACATCACTACCGAAATGAGCTATTGCGGTGAAAGATGTTACCTTACTACAGAGAACAAGAATGCATCATTTTTTTAAGGTGAAACACGAACCTACACCAAGTGAGAATTAAAGAAGTTGAACCCTACGTTAAATTATAATGTCCTCGCTGAGGCATTGAACTTTGAGGATAGCTTGATGAGGGCAAGGGATCTCCAAACGGGTTAGGATTAGAACCTACAAGCTGCATTTGCTGAGGAGGGTATTGATGAGAGACTATCATCGTATTATGCTGTTGTTGTTGAGCTGCTAAAGCCAATTGTACATTAGTTGGAGGGGCTATGTTGTTGGACGTTGCAAACGGATCGTTCTGGTTCTGGTTTTGATCAAATTTGTTCTGCAGAATCATTCCTTCATGTCCATAGCCTGCATTTTGGAACTGAAATTGTCTCCTAGAATGTTCGTCTTCACACAAACTGTCTAGTAATAGCTTGTCAAACCTACCAGCCTAAACAAAAGGGAAAGAAGCAGGGGGGAAAAATGATAATATCTTCCTCTCTCTCTCTCTCTCTTACTAGACGAGATTTAATGATAAGCAAGCAATTGAGATCAGTAGAGTGAAGAAACATACCATTTTGCCATCTGGAGTTTGAATGCTATGGTTACCCGGTGCAGTAACCAAAGCAAGTTCCCAACTAGAAGCACCAGCAATGTCGTTCAAACGACGCTCATTTACATTATTTCCTGCATTAAGGTGCAAAGTCTCGAGATAAGCATTATAGTTATCTTGAAATTTAGTACTACCTACGAAATTTGAAAAAAAAATGCTTCAAGTTTCCCATGGCACATGACCTTGATGAGCAACGTTAATGACATCCTCATGATTTATGTGCAAAATTGTGCTTATCAAATGATCGGAAGCCTAATATAGAGCTTTTTATTGCATAACTCCTGTCGTGGTTAGGGCAATTATGATCAAGATTGGACCAGAATTGTGCTTGGCTTAGCTACGATAATAATATAACTCATTACTACGGCTCCTGATTCACTCGTAAAACAAATAGGAACTTGGGCTTAAATCCTATTTTTTACTTCACCTCGATCCTTCGTTTGGTAAAATTTGGAAATAAGATCCATAAAATTTAAACAACTGATATTCGAAGAACTACATATCATATGTATTCTATAAACATTTTAAATTGTATATCAGGGTCAGGCCATTCCAATAATAAAGTGAGCTAAATGGCCATGCTCAACCTGCATTTTGTCACAAAGCAGAAAAGAAAAAAAACACTGTTCATTCGACAAGGTTCATGGTCTGTTCGGATTTCCATATTGGTGAGCCAAATGCAGATATGAGTTTACCTCCTTCCTGAAACCTTAAACGAGCTTTGTAGGTGTTGAATTCTAAAGCTGAGACACTAGAAGACTAAAAGGCGAACCTCATTTTTTTTTTGACCGGATAAAAGGCGAACCTCATTATAGTTGCATTATTTAATGCTTTTTCTATCTGTACAAATGCATGCATAGTACAGAACTATACATACATGCATACACACAAACATATTCAAATATTAGAGTAAATCACATAAATCTCTCCTTGAGTTTTGCTAGAATTACATAGATTTTTATTCTACTTTCAAAACCAATACAACCTTCTCCAAAGACTGCTAAAATCAAACATACCCCTCCTCCACTTTTAAAAGAAAAGTAAATTACAGTCTTCCACTAAGCTATTGTTAAAAGTTTCTGAAGTTTTGAAAATAGATAAAAGGTATGTGTAAATTGGGCAAAATTTAGGACAGATCCATATAATTTTCTTCTTATTTTTAGAGGTTTTATGGATTTTGAAATAGAGAAAAAGGCTGTGAAGTATGAACAAAACTCAAAGGAGGTCGATGTCATTTACTTAAATATTAAATCCTCTAGCTTTACCGCCAGTTGGAGCAATTGCAAGAGCCAACGCATTGCCATCTTCCAATTCTTGAGCGTTTGAATTTATTTCCTTCAGACCCTACAACGATGAAGACAATAAATGGGGAAGAAACAGAGAGAAAAGGATATAAAGTATCTAAAAGTCAAACTAACAATATGAAAGTGCACACCAGATGACTTTAACACACCAGCAAATCATCAGTAGCTTCAGTTGAAATCAGAGGATGCAACTCAGGCTCCACTTCCTTCTCCTGTATTTCTTCCACCGTCTCTAATGGCTTTTCCTCATTTACTTCTTCAGCCTGTTCCTCGATTTCATCAGGCTCGTTAGGTTCTTCTGGTTCTGGTTCATGGATTGACTCAATGGTTTTTTGATACTCCTGATGTTGAATGACATTTATTAACAAACCATACAACATGCAAATTTGTTTTCAATAACAACACAACATCAATGATTAAAGCGGAATAAAACAGATGTTTTTGACAACAGTGAAGGAGCTATTTGAATCGCCAGCCACAGAATTTAGTTACTTACTGGATTAGATATATATCATCCACCAATGGCGTAGGAACAAATTTGCAGATATTTAATTAGCTTTTGCTTTTGGCCAAAATTCAATTATAACTAGTGCAAAAACCACAACACTAATCAACTGGGCCTTAGTGTAGAATAAATAATTAGTTTTGAACAGTATTGTTACTCCCTAATATGAGTTAGATATTTATCATCCTATCTTTTAAAAAAATAGGACGGAATATATTAATTAGGGTTCAGGATGTTCTCAAAATACTGTGTTTACTCTTGAGTACTATGTAGTGATTGACAATTGATATGCACGTTTTTAAGACCAGCTTAAGAACTTTAGACCTACAGGGCTACTCAAATACTGAAAAGGCTAGATTTAAAGCCCTTTGTGGGACAAGTCAAGCTGAACCTAATTTATCCCTAAATATGATACTCCTTCAGTTCTAAATGTACGACCCATTTTATGGTATAATTTATACTACAAAATGAGTCTTATATTTAGGACTGAAGGAGTAAACAATAGACACATCTTGATCCATTAGATAAAACGCAAATACAATATAATCGGATACAACATAAATACAACATAACTTTAAAGCTTTCTCCAAATAATTTACATATCAATTTCTCACCAGTCTCTTTTGAACAGAGCCGGTCTGCGGTGCTTCTTTGATGTATTCTTCCATTGTGGCAATAAAAGATGGAGGTGGCTGTTTATGGAAGGAAAAAGAAGCTTCATAACAGACCATTCATTCCTATCAAGTGAAAACTTCTCGCTATGAAATGGAAAAACCTGCCGTAGCGTTGGGAACTGAAAATTCCTGGCAAGATCCAAGCCCTTGCAATATTCATAGACATTGGCGAGATGTTTAGCCTGCATTATAATAAAGTCTCAATTGTCAGTTCAGCAAATCACTGAGGTCAAGATTTTATCCGTAATGGACAGCAAGAAGAATGCAACTGCAGAAAAGCATCATCACAAACCTGTTGGCCTGCTCTTTTATATATATTTAGAGCCTTCACTGCTTCATGTCTTGACATATCAAAGAACTGTAGGAAAGTGCAAATAATACATCAAATGAGATAGAAGCTACAATTTACAGAACTCCACATATCACATTAAACTAAGACAGAAGCTACCATGTCCACGAGATTTATAATTCCATCATTGATTGCACAATATATTTTGAAGCTCTCTTTTAGTACCTAAAAGACATTGCCAACAAAAAAACAAGTGTGTGAGAAAGGGACGCAAGGATAAGTAAGAGATGCCAAGAAAAGAAAAAGGTTCTTTCTTTAAAAAAAAAAAAAAAAAATCACCCATGGAAGTATGACAACTGCTAAGGATGAATTAGGGTGCAAAATTTTACATTTTAAATTACTGTTGTGAAATCTTCAACTTGTAGCAGAGGCCCTTTTTTTATACGAATTTTTTAAGATCCAACCCTGAGATTCGTTTTTCAGATTCAGTTTCACTATGCACATGAGTACTCACGAAATGATATTGACAACTCATGCACTTGAGCTAGATAGTTTCTTTTATATTTCTGGTATTGTCTCTTTAGCCATTCAATTGCTACTGGACATTTTGGAGTATCGAATACTCAGATAAAAGGACTAATAACTATAAATATGCATACCAACGCCAGTGCATACTGTATGAGAAAAATGTTATAGGCTGCTCCTTCAGGCTGCAAGAGATTAAGGCCAATTAATTGTCATATCAAGGGAAATTCAATACAGGAGTTTCAATGTTAAGTACTACCTCCGGTCCTTAATATAAAACCTCGTTTGACTTTTATTTTGGTTCTAAATATAAGACCCCTATCCAGTTTCTCTCTAATATTTATGCCTTTTTTTCTAAAATAGTCCTTCTAATAATAGTAGTTCTAGCTAACATACTTGATTAGTAAAGATCTTTTAGGAAAGACAACACATATTTATTACAAATAACTAATTTAACTTATTTTCTTAATCTCTTCAAATTAGTCAACTAGCTCTTATAATTAGGACCGGAGGTAGTATTTGACAGCAAACTATGAGCATGCAGACACCGAACCTCAATTTTCCCCTTCAATTTTACCTGACAACCAATAAGCCGGTAAAGAAGTTGCTGAAGCGCAGGTATTTGTTCCAGCAGCTCATCAGAACGTAACATGCGCGTTCTGCTATGTGCCTGTGTCAAAATTAAGAGTTCCTTATGTTCTGTCCATAATAATTGTTCCTGCATAGACTTCAGTGCCACATCCTCATTTGCATCATTTTTAAAGTATTTGCCTTTTGCCTTTAGGTGCTAAGGAGGCTGATGTTTGGTGGGATACAAGGAAGACCCAAGTTTAGTTTTGAATGATATAATGCCTATAGTGATAATGCATGGCTATTATAGACGAGTAATCATTCCCAGCAAAAAAGTAGACAAGTAATCTCCCCCCCCCCCAATTCGGCCAATACAATATCATATTCAAAAATTGATTTTGTCTATATACCAATAAGAAAGAAAGCTTTATCAAGGATAGATCAATTTTTATTCTATTTGCATATAGCACCACCAGATTTTCTAGAGTACTTTTCATGCAAGTCCTTCCTCTAGAAGACCCGACAGAGTAGGCCCTACATGGCAAATTTAGAAGGAATTACCACCCCCAACTTAAAAAGCCTTCCACCTTTTCTTTTCCGGTAGAAGCTTTTCACTTCTGTTTTTTTCCCCCTCATACAGCACATTACCACCATATCATTCACCAGGGATTATGACTCTCCATGGAAGGTCTTAGAGGTCTATATTTTGTTCCTCGCATCCTCCCACTAAATCGATCATACTTTCTCCCTAAGGCGCTATTTGGCTATCGCTAAAACAGTAATCAAATGCATGGAAATCCAGAAAGCAATTTCAAATAAAAATTACTCACCTCAGTAACAATTGATGTGAGAGGTAAATGCTCAGATTCAATGTCATATCTAAGGATTCTAAGACATTGTAGTCTTTCGTCTAAAAATAGAGCATACATTCGGATCCATGCAGAACAATCCCAAGCTGCGTAGAGAAACTTCATCAGGCATGAAGCTCAATATAAAAATTTACAAAAAGGTTCTAGATCAGCTGGTAAGTCCAAAAGGTAAACCAATTAGTTTGCACAACCAGGTCACCTGTAGGGCTTGAATCATCTAGAAAATTGGATATTTGGAGAACATTTCCCCTGCGCGAGAAGCCTAGAAGTTCTTCTGTGAAGGTAGGATCGCCCTCTCTTAAAGTCCTATGAATGACTATTAAAATCTTTATAGCAACCTGCCATATTCATAAACAAAATGAAAAGAAGCTGAGGTGCAAATCAGTAAGTTTGAAAAAATTGCTTCCATATGGCAAGAAAAGATCTTGTTCATAGTAAAATTGATAATAAATATATTTCCTCTCTTAATGGGCTGAGTTGAGCCTGTGGACCATATAGCCCCATCGATCCCTTAATTTGCATAATAAAGTCAACTATGGGCGTGCCATATCCCATCTGTTATGATAATGCAGTAGAGCCACAATTTCAAATTAAAGCATGAGGTATTGAAGTAATTCATTCTTTTAATGGCGGCTCATATATAGAAAAGCAAGGATAGCAAATCATATAGCAAAAACAGTCAAAGTTCAAAGCCATATGTTATTCTTGATATCAAGGTTTGTTTGGCTTTTACTGCTTTGAAACAAGACATTTCAAACCACAGGTAGGGACAGAGAAATTACAACCCAACTTCTTGTTTTGGATAGTCTCCGGGACAGTGCATGAATGCAGTAAGCCACATCTGCTCGTGGTTGTTGCGCTGATGTTGCATCGAAGATCTCTGCATTGAGTTCGAGGCATAGAAGGAGGGAAAAAAGAACAGGTATATTAAGAGTCAGAAAGTATTTGATCAATGAAAAGGCAAATCCAATTTGTAACGCAAGTTGCTAATCTGCCAATGATTTCATTCATATTCTTCAATAGAACCATGTGAAAGGAAGAATATGATTGATTGGTTAAAACGTGGCTTTTGAAACATGATTAAAAGACTCAGAAGATATCCTACATGAAATGCAGTAACGCAGTTTCACCAGGGTAAATGCAATATCAAAATTAGAAGCATAAAGATTATCAATAAAAACTATGAAGAGTAATGAGATATATAAACTAACTCACTTCGAACATAACGTTCCTTAGGAGGATATTCTACGTGATTGGTAGCCTTTACGATTGCAATATCCAAATCCTTGAACAAAGAAAAATGAAACAAAGCTAATAAAACAAGAAAAATGGTTTTTCAGGAACATGAAAATTTTGAACATCAGGCTTGATATTTTGAACGAATATGAAAAAGGGTAAATGACAATCACCTTGTATTCGCTATTGACCTTGGCAAGACCAACCTTGGTGGAGTCCTTAAGAGCACCATAGGCCTTTCTGAAGCTCTGAAATGTCCCCATTCATTGACAATGAATTTAATTTTTTGTGATCGCAAACGAAGGAGGGAGACAAAGAGAAGGAACATGAATGTGCTTCTATTCCTTTTTCTTCTTCTTCTTCTTCTTCTATCTCTGTGACATTGTCGTTTTCCAACGACAAAACGAACCAATGAATCTCTCTTTCCCTCAAAATTGTGAGCAGGAGCAGCAGCGAGAAATGGCAATTGCTGAAACCGGTATTCTGGCAGTTTCAGGTTTCTTAGGCTTAACTGATTAGCGAAATTTGTTCAGATATCTTGTCATGTGGAACGAGAGCTTCTGTAATTTGTTTGTTGATTCTGAAATGCAAGACAGAACAGATGATTCATTTTACTTTTCTGGTATTCCATTTTTTCAAAAGAAAGAAAAACAGAGAAAAATTGAATGGATTTTTTTGGGTATGCTCTTGCATTCTGTTTTGATTTGAAGTGTTGATAATTACACGTTGACCTGCTTCCACTTGTCTTACAGTACTTAATGGTAATGATTTGAATGATTGGGCACAAAATCATTGTAACAGGCTTGAGACAACCGCCACCTCTTCTCACTGTTTGATTCTTTTGTCAAAAAAAGAAAAAGAAAGCGTACTACAGAAACTTTATTTCACATTATATGTGCTACTCCTCCGGTCCTTAATATAAGACCCATTTAACTAATTTGATTAGATTAAGGAAGTTAGGTAAGTTAGTTAATTATAAAAAAATTGACACACTTTTCCTAAAACATCATAATCATCTTTCTTAATACCCCCTCTCTCTCTTTTACTTAATTATGGTTGAGGGAGTATCTATAGGGGTAATTTAGAGAAAATTGATAAATATGAGAAATGGGTCTTATATTTAGGACCAAAACCAATTCAAATTGGGTCCTATATTAAGGACCGGAGGAGTATATTTTTCAAGTCTGAAATTTTTTACTACCCAAACAGATATACTAGTATTCCTTCTTTGTTTTCTTGAGAAGAGCCGCTAATATGGGTTGAACTCATGGCCTCAACCCGTCACAAAGTGGGTTGAAAAAACAATAAAGACCATTTTAATGCAATTCTTTTCAATCTACAGTTAGTTACGGGCTAGCCCTCTAGTCCTTTTTTTTAAAAAATTTTTACAATTTTATTTTTATTTTAATAAGAAATTTTTTTATCATTTTCACTTAATTTACATATAACTTTATATTTTATTAGAGGTTTGATTCTAAATTTGATTTCTCATTTTTTATTGTTTTACTATTTTTATACTAATAAAATAATTATTAACAATGAATTATATGTTTATATTTCAACTTTTGAGATTAATTAATTATATAATTATATGAAAATATGAGAATAAAAAGAACTTGCTCTATAAAAATTTATAATTTAATTTAAAATTTTTACATATATATGTAAAAAAATTTTAAAAAAGATGGAGATTGGCGTGCCACCCATTGGCGAGGCGAGTTGGCAAAATGTAAACCCGTCAAGAGGCGATCTTTTTAGAACCAGCCTGCATAATCTTGAACCCGCGACGGGTTGGCTATAACTGGCAAGGTGGCTCGTTTTACCACCTTTACCCCTAATGCATACCCAGCAATATTTTGTTCCCCCAGTTTTTATGTGATTTCATTAAATTATTTCCTTAAAAAAATGGTATTATTACTTTAATCTTATTTATGATACACTTATCTTCAAAACATTTCAAAGGGATTAATCTCTAGATCCGTATAGTTTCATTTGATTTTTAATCAAGTCCCTATAAATTTTTTCTTTTATCAAATCCTTTTACTTTCATGTGTTTTTAATTAGGCTCTTCTATTTTTTTATCAAGTCCTTATAGTTCACTTATTTTTTAACTAGATCCTTTGTAGTTTTAAAAAAAATTATTTATTAACTTTATTCTTTAAAATTAATTTGTTTTTAAATTAATAATTATATAATTGGATAAAATAATTAATAGAATCATTTAGTAATTAATAATTAATCAGAATAATCAATTATACTTAACTATAAATTATTTATAATTATATTCTAATTTTAGAAAATCTTATTATCATAAGTTAAATTTTATAATTATAAAAATTAGAATTGAGAAATAAATTATATATATGTTTAACTAAAAATTTAAAAGAATATTAACATAAGATTATTATAATAATTTATTATTTATAGAATATTATTATTTATAGTGTAAAGAATAAAAACTACAAAGACCTAATTAAATATAAGATAAAACAATAAGGAACTGATAAAAAGAAAAAAATTATAAAGACCTGAATAAAAATATGTAAAATTATAAGGACCTGATAAAAAGAAAAAAAATTATAAGAACCTGATTAAAAACCAATTAAAAATATAAAAACTTGTATATTAATTATCCCTATTTCAAATTTGGTTGAATTTTACCCAACTTTAACTGCCCTTAACGTTGGTTAGAAGAGAGGACACATAAGCATGATTTTTAAAAAAAATCTTCCAAAAAAGCATTTTGAATAAATAACATTGCGAATATGGATGAAAATAAGCCAGACTTAATTTTTGTTTTTGACTGAACGCTAGACTTAACTAAATAAGCCTGAACAGGAGTTTAAAACCCGAACCTAAGTCTAGCCTGTATACAAGTTCTTTTTTTTTTTTTACTCCCTAAGGTTAGGCTCAAGCCTTCAAAAGGCCACCTGAAACATTTTCAAAGGTTCACGACCTCATGTTTTAAGCTTTGAAGGTTTAAACAGGCTTTGAGTCTATTAAAATCTACATAAATGTAGGTTTTTGATGTAATTAGAAATCTATATGTTTTAATATATATTAACAAAATAAATTTAAAAAATTAATTAGATCAAGCTTATAGGCTTTCAGGCCAGGTTTAAAACTTAAAAACTTAACCTGTTTAGGTTAAAAGACTTTTAAATAGGTCTTAAGTTCAACCTATTTGCTAAACAGGTCAAGCTATATATCAGGACCTAATCATGCTAGACTCTAAGCCCCTGTTCCTTGGAGTTTAGAGTTTAGAAATAAGTTTTATGGGCGAATAATAATTATAGGTGATTTTATATTTAGAATAAAAATAAAAATAAAAATAACTCTTATATTAAATATCGAAAGTAATATATATTAACAAAATAAATTTTAAAAAATTAATTAGGCCAAGCTTGTAGACATTCAAACTAGGCTTTAAATTTAAAAACCAAACATATTTACCTTAAAAGACTTCTAAATAAGTCTTAAGTCTGACCTCTTTACTAAGCAGGTCATGCCATTTTAAGTCCTAACCAGGTTAGACTATGGCATGTACTACTCCGTCCCTAATTATAAGAACATTTTGGCTAAATTACGCTTTTTAAGGAAACAGTTAAAATTAGTTAAAAGCAATTAATATGTAACAAATATAAGTTTTTTTTTCCAAATATACCCCTAATAAATGTAAGAGAGTAATAATAATATAAATATAGAGAAAATATAATATATAAAATTTATTAGGAGTAAAATAGATAACAATGCATTAAATGTTCAAACAAACTAAAAAAAAACTTTATAAAAAGAGACAAATATATTAAAAAAAAAGATCTTGTAATTAGGGATGGAAGAAGTAGGTCTCTGCGAAGAGCTTAGCTTAATTCTATTCCTAATTTAATTTTTTTTTTTACCAGTATTCCTAATTTAATTTAGAGTTTAGGAATGAGGTTTATGGAATGTATGAGGTAACTATTTTTCAAATTTTTTTCCTATAATTATTTACCAATTTCCTCCCCACAGAATATTCTTGAAAACGTAGGTACTAGATTGATAAGCTGGCTTATTAGGAGAGTTAGGGTTTCTTCACCTGGGATTCCAACCTCGTCGATCAATCGGATACAATGGCGATGAGAAACTTCTACAATGAGATCAAGGGTATGAGGGTGAAGGAGCTGCCCCAACATGTGAAGCCAATGCTGTCCGTCGAGTACGTCAAGAAGGCTGTTCAGAGAGGATTGGACAATTATTGCGCAAAGTATATAGAGACCGACTCCATCCAACCGCTCTATCATCTTTGCTTTGGAGGGATGATCTTCTCCTACCTCGTCGCTCTCCCGCATGAACGCCGTCACCTTGAGCACCTGGAACACGCCAAGCAACATGGTCATGGTGGACACTGATTTTTCCGTCGTCTATTGTTTCAGGTGTGCGTCTTTATGAATTGATTCGGATGTTGCGATTTCAGTTTTTTCGGATTCGCTTTTTTTGATTGATGATTGGATGTCTTGAGGTTTTAATTCCCCCCCCCCCCCATTTATGGTTTGACGTTGGGGCAATCAAGTTGGATTTACCCCATGGGTTGCAATTTTACATTTAAACTATATGTGTACATATTCCTTATAAGAGTTTTGATGTGTGGAGCTTTCTTTAGTAGTGTTGTCTTGGTGACTTTCCACGCAAAATGTATTGGCTGATACAGATTCCAACCCACTCTCGCTTCTCATTTAAGCACCTTGAAATGAAGTGGATTAAAACCTATGCCTCTAGAACTTTATTTTAGGTTATGTTAAGGAGTTGAGTAAGGAATGAAATGGAATTATCTGTAATAAAATAGAATGGTATGAAAAGGGAAAGGGTGGAATGGGAAGTTGCACTTGCTTCTCTATTCTACAAAAGGAAGAAAGGTGTTAGCAATTTTTGGAAAGATACCATAAAAATGACAGGAATGGTATGATTTATAAATCAATGTTATTATTTTCTCTTCAATATCACCCTTATGACTCATGGGTATGACGCTATGTCATATTGCTAACGGTTCTACGTGGAAGTTCAATTCAGGACACTAACACTTGCTGCAAATATCCAGGGTTAGAGGACAGCTAGTCTTACTGTAGATTCTTGTTTTATGGGCTTTCCTTGGCTTTTTTCCCCCAGTTGGCTAAGCTCATGAATCATGATTATTCATGTTTTATTTAATAGTGTCTTGTTTGATTTGAAAATGGACTCGTTGAAATGCAGGAGATAATAAGGCTTTTGCAATGTGTTGAAACACATTTTGAACTTTGATATGTTAAAAGCCATGAAGGAATTTAGGAATTTAGTTTTTCTTTTTTCTCCTTTTCACCCAGTTCCATCACATGTAGTTTCTTGTGGGTAATCTTGTGATGGCGACTTTTTGCAAGTTTTGTTGAGTAGAGGCTTTGTAAAATTCAATTTTAGTATCTTATGTTAGAGGGCAAGGTTTTTCTTGTTGTTTAGCCCCTTTCATTTATTTGTTGGAGAGATGGGGAGAGGGAAGGGTGTAAGATAGATGAGAACAATTGTTGAGATAGTCATGGACAAAATCTAAGAAGGTAAAATATTAGGGATATGGCAATTTTTGAAATGCTAGCGGCATGTGTATTCAACAACTGAGACAACCAACTTAAGATGGAGTAACATGGAACTAGTAGAGTGAAGAAGAATGCAAGACCATGGAAGAATTAAGAATGAACAAACCAATATGAAGCTTCAACTAACCCCTCTGGCTTAAACAGAGTCAAACATGATGTAATGGGAGGAATAAAAATAGAATTCGAATGATCGGGAATACTTGCCTTACCCTTTCTTTGCATCATATTCTTTTGGTCCTTTCTGTCTCTGGCCTTATTCCATTGAGATGATGTTGGCAAAGAGAAGAACACTCATGAAGAACTTGAGGAATTTCAGCAAAGAAAACAAAATGTTTCCGAAATAATGTCGTCTCATATTGCATTGCAGTTTGTGTTGTTTCACTACATTTTGGAAGCGCATTAATGTGTTTTGAAATATTTTGGAACAAACTTGACGAAATATCATACAAGGGCTTATTCATACTGTAAAACTATCTCGTGGATACAAATTCGATATGGATATGACAGTCATTTCGGCGTAATTGTACATCTTGGAACCATGCATACTTGTGATGTTTTCATGTCTGCCTTCCTGTATGCTCCTTTATGATTTCCCCCCCTGCTTTTTATGGCCTGTTTTATATTAGATGGTTTATAAATAATTCTTTTTCCTTTTTTAATGTGGGCAGGATCCTGGTTGTTCAATTGAAGATGGTCGGCTTGCTTAATTTTCTTTTGGTTTTAGTTCTGGAAAATCAGGGCAGAAAGATACTGTTACCTTCAATGTATGGCATCTTTTATGCGATTAAATAAGATCAATTTGATACAATGACTCAAATTTTCCTGCTCCAACATGTCACTGCAATGTGTTTCTCAAGAGTAGAACTAATCTTTTGCTTTGTTTGTGGCTCTGTGTTCTGTTAATGAGATGACATTATCTTGCTTTTGCTTACATAATTGAAGTGTTTGATATCTCAAACATTCATATAACTACTCGAACATGTCTTGGTTTCTACCATTGTGAATTTGGACTGGTCATTTAATAACCGATGAAGTGGCCATATTGCCCTTTCCTGTAGCCCTGTAAATTTTTTTATCATTGACTAGTTGGATGCTTGATGGTAAACGCCACCGATACAACCGGACTCAAAGCAAATTAAATGAATATAGACTTAATTTTATAATCAATGTAAGAATATTTTTAGTTAAAAGTAATTTAATTATAATTTATCTTTTTTAGTTATAACCGGTTTATATGGCCCTGAATTGCAGTAGCTCTATTTTTTTTATTTTTTAATTAAGTGGTTAAAGATTATTCTTAAGCTTGTGTGTAAAACATGACAATATTAGTCATAATTGTGAAGATATTCTTAATGTATCGTTAAGAAAACAAACAAACAAATAAATAGTCGGCTTCATTTAATTCCAACAGTCACATGTAATTTTAAATAATATTGAAATTAAAAAATCATTGAAAAAAATTCATTTGTGCGAGATTTTTTTTTTTCGTCATCCTTCACCTATTGAAAGAAACTCAGATACCCAACATATCTATAGAGAACTAAACATGCATTTACCAAAAAAAAAAAAAAACAAGAAGTTCAAATGAAGAAAATAACACTTCTGTTCCTTTAGACTCGAGATGGAATCATCAACTTAGCTGGATATCGAAGATCTTAAGTGTTACATCCTAAACACCACATTCTCTTGTTTTTCATATTAAAATTTTCTTTCCTCTGGCGTCCCTGCTTAATAAGTCATTTTTATTACTGTGTATTAAATTTTAATCATCAAATAGTAGTGTCATTTTTTAAGGAAAAAAATGCTACAGATTCTTCGCATGTTAGGAGATGTTTGAATAAAACATAAACCATAATTTTAAATGTGATTATACAATATACGAAATAAATATGTGATATAAATTATCTCGATTTATGTGAAAGTATTTTTGAAAAATGTTTATAGAGCTGCCAAACCCTCCCTTAATCATGAAACATACCCACTTTTTTGGAATTTGAACGAATTAATTAAAAAGTTTTTATATTTATATGTTTTAGATTTATGTAAATTATGCACATTCTTTGAATTTTTGTTGACAGTGTATAAACTTTTTTAATCTATTTGTGAAAATGGATGTAAATTTTGAAGAACTTAAAAAAATAACAAAAAAATTTAATTGACACAAATTTTGTTACAATTTAAATAAAATTTGGGTTAATATAATCTTTAGTCTCTCAAATTTATTCTTATTTTGGTTTTAATCTCTCAAATTTTAAATCATAGATTTTAGTCCTTCTAAGGACAAACCAGTCCAAGTTTTTATTATATTATAGGGAACAATGTTTTAAATGAAAAGAAATTTGAGAAATCAAAATCAAAATGGTGATAAACTTAGGAGGCAAAAAATTATATTAACCCATAAAATTTTGTGATAATATGTATATCTATATAATACAAAAATTCTAATAAATTCAACTATTCACAATTCTTCGTTTTTAAATACGGCGATCTATTTCAATAACTTTTTCAGATGCGTTAAAAATTGACTCTAATTCTACAAAAACTTGGAAAAATATTTGCATTAATTTTTAAATAAAAATATAATTTTATATTTACCATTCACGATTAAATAATAAAATTTGCTATACTCTCACCTTTTTTTTCCCGACCCTATCAATCTTTATTCAGATCAGAAATTGATTGCTTGGGCAGCAAATATTATATATATATATATATATATATATATTGATGATGATGATATATTGAAATATTCATTTATTCATATTGATATAGTTGTTATTCATTGAAGAATTGTGAGACGGAAGGTTCAATTTAATTTGATTTGATTTTACCCAGAAGAGCCCAATATGCTTTTGTTGATGGTAAAGCTGCAATTACGGTTTGTTGGGGATGGACAAAAGTGAAGCCAAACCCCACATTGGTTTGTGATTTATGTCAGAGGAAAAAAAAAATGAGTTCTGATGAATAAAGAGAGGAAGAGAGAGAGAGAAACGCAGAAGCTGACCGTTGCCTGGTGGTGCTTCGGGAAGAGGCAGACCGTCGCCGGTGACTGCCTGGCTGATAGCAACATTGGAAATCTCAACCCTAATTTTCAAATTCGAACTAATATATCACTCAACCAATCATTGCTCGCACATTGAATCAATCCTTCGAACTCAACTAGTCTCACACCGTCTTCCTCTTCCTATTTATATTACATTATGTGAGGTAGCTTCAGAGCTGTTAAAACTTCAGATCCTCCTCAATATTCCTCTTCCATTACAGGTTAGTTCCCTTGATTGACTTTGTACTTATGTGGGGCTCTTATTTTGCTTTATCTTAACTTAGTACTGGTTTATGCTGCTTTTGCTTGTGGATTTCAAGGCGTTATTATGGCGCTCTCGAGTAATTTGGGGGGAAATAGTCACTTGTGCATTTGGGTTTATTACCTTCAAATCACAATTGTTAATTATAACTAAGATTGATGAAAGTGATAGTTGCTCCTTTGATAGTTTTCTTAGTCTTTGTAGTGATCAGGGTCTTAAACACCATACCTCGAGTTTTCTTCTTCACTCAATACTTAAAGATTCATTGTTCGTCTTGCTTGTAATGCTTCACTATTGCGAATACTTGACTGCATATTGCTTGTAATGAACTGAATTTTTGCTTTATATATCCTGCTTTAATCTCAATTTTTGTAGAATATTTTCGTTTATTCGTTATTGAAGGTTTCTTGTCATTCTGTTCCCCGAAATACTGGGGCTTCATGGATCACCAATGTTCTGGAGTCAATTTATCTCCCCTTCCCATATGCAGTTTTTCTGCACCATCAAGCCATTGTCATTTATATATACTATGAATCATCTAAATGGGTTCTCTAATGTATCATTATCTCTAAGTCATTTCCAAGGTATATTTCTCCTTTCTTTCATATTTTCACTTTTTGGTGGATTTGCATTGATGGATGAAACATAGGTTGAAGAAGAGGAAAGACTGCCGTTCCAGATGGCAGTTCTTTCCAAATGTCATTGTAAAAGTGACTTAATATGACAATGCTATCAGTGCCAGCTGAAAATTCCTGATCTAGGTCGGACATGAGTTTACCAAATTCTGAAGAACTCATTTGACTTTTGATGAGCCAGAAAGTCGTGTCCTTTAATAGTTTTTTGATGGTAAGAGAAAGAGAAGTAGTTTACTCAAACTCTCACTCACACAAATAAATCAGATACTGCAAATTCCAATTTCTTTTCTTGTCCTGGACTTGCACTGATTTTAACCCCACAAAACAATGTAGAAAACTGTCAACTCTTCAAATTGCGGCCAAAGAGATGCATAAATTAGGACTTGCTCATTGAATAAGCCATACATATGAAATTTTTAGCTTTGATATTTGATCAGTTGTTACTGTAGAATTCAATTGATCATTTATAGTTAACTAGACTTCTCTCTCAAGATTTGTTTGAGCCCATGTCTCTTGACTCTTGACATTCTGCAGGGTTAATATCATTTCTTTCGTTATTCAAAATTATGCTTGAATAGAATCTCTTTGATTAGAGTTTATTTTTCAGGATAGCTAGGCTTCGACCTGAATTGTGGAATAAACTAGATCATCAGTTGAAATAGTTTTTTTAACTAGTCAATTATATTTTGCTCTAAATTGGGTTCCTATTGTCCAATTGCATTTCTTGTACGTTGCCCAGTAATTAGTTAACAGATTCCTTTTTCTGCTTAAGTTGGAGTATCTTGTGCGACTCAAGTGGGGTAATATTAGTCTGTGCTTCCAAGTGCAATTTGTCAAGGGTATCAGCTTTCTTCTCATACTAAATATGAGGGGAGGCATGGGTAATTTATGTTGATAATTAATTAATATTTTTTTCTTTTTATGCCTTACCTTTCAGTATTGGTGCATCATATATTAATATGCGGGATAGTGAGAAGAATGTAAATAACAGAGGATCTAGAAAACACAAGAATTCAAATGCACAAACCGAGTTAAAGCCATGCTCATCATTGAGATTAAAAACCGGTAGCCCAAAATCCCAAGCGAAGAAGCATAAATTAAAACAAAAGTCTCGTGCACACAGAGTTGGTGCAAATATATCAAGGCAGGCAGGCACTGGCTCTTCTAAGGAGGACCCAAGCAAGGACTTTTCGAATAAAAACTTGATCATCAGAAAAAGTCTACATAAAACCAATGGAAATCCATCACAGAAGCCCAGCTCATCAAAGCCTCAAGGTGAAAAAGTTTCGCTTGGCTCTAAGAAAGAGGGTAAAGATGTTGATGAGGAGGTAAACATTCAGAAGCTTAAAAGGAGAAGGAGAAAAAGGAAAAATCAAAGAAATAATGTGGATCTTGATGATGCTTCACGCCTGCAGAGGAGACTAAGGTATCTTCTGATTAAAATAAAGCGGGAGCAGAACCTTATTGATGCATACTCTGGAGAAGGTTGGAAAGGTCAGAGGTATGAGAAATTTTCCTTTAGTAGTTTCTTTCAAATGTGTCAATTACCTTTTTTAATGTCAAATTAAATTAGGGATCTTTCTATGCTTCAAAACCAGAAAGATCTTATCATGATGACAATGTTGATATAATCAGAGTCACATTAGAGTAAAAAAGTATATTCTTTACATGACATCAAGATATTATTAATTTTTCCCATGGATGACTGACCGTTTACTTGTATGAATTGTCTAGCATTCAGTGGTCTATATAAATTTTCCTATCAAAATTGTAAAATAATTGTGTTTTCTCAACACAAAATTTCCCATGATAAATGTCTTTATGGCTGATATTTTCTTTTTATTAAATTGACTATCTCCTTATAGTGACTATTGTTGATTATATTTTCTTATTATGGAATTCATTATCATAGTCAAGAGAAGATCAGGCCAGAAAAGGAGTTGCTAAGAGCTCAGAAGCAGATTTTACATTGTAAGCTTAGTATTCGTGATGCCATTCACCAGTTGGATACTCTTAGTTCGGTGGGTAGCATTGAGGGCTCTGTCATTGCTCCAGATGGATCTGTTTACCATGAACATGTGAGCATGGACCAATGCTTCGATTACTTAAAAATATTGTGCTCTTAAAGCTTTCTGCACTGTCTAGTTCAAAATTTGTCACTGTTGCTTTCCCACCTATGACTAGAATTATCTTTGTCCCTGCTACTACTACTACTTTCTAGTATGCAAGTTGTATAGAGAAAGGAATGTTCTATTTTTAAAACCTGTACATTGATTATTTTAATTTTATAAATCCAGATATTCTGTGCAAAGTGCAAATTGCGTGAAGCTTTCCCAGATAATGATATAATACTATGTGATGGCACCTGTAACTGTGCTTTTCACCAAAAATGTCTTGATCCTCCATTGGACACTGAAAATAGTGAGTTCTTTTCCAAGCTTGTTGACTTATTCAATAAACTAGATTATGCTGACTTAATTAAGGGATCTACTTGTTTGATTATACTTTGTAGTTCCTCCTGGAGATCAGGGCTGGTTTTGCAAGTTTTGTGAATGTAAGATGGAAATACTGGAAGCAATAAATGCGCATATTGGGACTCATTTCTCCCTGGACAGCACATGGCAGGTTAGTCACCTTAGATTTGCTTTATTATTGGTTTTCCTTCCCTTATAAAATGTGTGTGTTCCTAATAGTAATTTGGAATGCTTTTCTATTGTAAATTAAGGATGTATTCAAGGAAGAAGCTTCCATACCTGAGGGGGATATTAGTTTACTGAATCCAGGAGAAGAATGGCCATCAGATGATTCTGATGATGACGATTATAATCCTGAAAGGAGAGAGGATAGCCATAATATCAGTGCAGACGATATTGATGGTGTTGCAGCTGATGATTCAAGCAGCTCTACCAGTCTGTGGAATTCAGATGATGGATGTTCTCCAGGAACAGGAAAGGAAAGCATTGACCATGAATTTTTCTCTCGGAATAATTGCGTAGATTCTGATGAATCTGGAGAGATAGCATGTGGCCGGAGGCAGCGAAAAGCAGTTGATTACAAGAAACTCTATGATGTGAGCATATTAAGTTATCATTAAAGCGTGTCAAAGTTATCAGTGATTATGGTTGAAGTTGATAGGTTTAGTTGTAGGTAATATGGAAGTTACAAGTTACTGACATATTCATGGTTTATCGCTCAAATTTAAGGCCATCACTTTGCCAGTCCCTTTACAGGCATAAAACGTTGCTCTTTCTTGCCAAAAGAATTATCCTCATCTTTCTTACATAAATTTGATTGAAAAGGATAGATCTTTTTTGCTTGTCTTTACCCTTCCTCGCAGGACCTTTTGACAAAATTTGAACTCTGATGTCATATTTACTAACGTTACAGTACTGGTTTAGTAAGAATTATCTCTATGGAAAAATCTTGAATATTGGAGCTTAAACATACCATTATGTAGATTTCTTTTGACGTGATTAAATCTCATTTTAGGAAATGTTTGGGAAAGATGCTCCTGCACTTGAGCAAGTTAGTGAAGATGAAGACTGGGGTCCAGGCAGAAGAAAGCGAAGAGAAAAAGAGTCTGATGCTGCCAATACTCTGATGACTCTCCATGAAAGTGAGAACAAATGTTCCCAAAACGAGCAGAATGTAATAAAGGAATTTTCTTCAGACTTCCAAAGTAAAAGGCCTTGTTTCAGGCTTCCACGCCATGCAGTTGAGGTGCTGCTAATTGCATTTGTTGTAATTTTTTCTCTGTTTTCTCAAATTGGAGTTCCTGTTGAGAACAGTTGCTATAGGTGAGTGTTATATACCCTAATCTGTGTCCTTTCACTTTCTTGTGAAATGTGCCAGAAGCTTCGCCAGGCTTTTGCAGAGAACGAACTTCCTTCAAGATCCGTGAAGGAGGGACTTTCAAAAGAGTTGGGACTAGATGCTGATAAGGTTCTGATGCTCAATCTCCATTCAATTTTTTTGTATCTATCTTCATGGGACTTTAAAGTCGTTTTTTGCTTTCCGTACATATTATATATGTTTCAATGAAGTAAACTTCATAATGTTCCTCTCCCTACTGTTATTTGTGCTGTTTTCAGTCCTTACTTATGTCTAGCCACTTTATATCACGTCAAAGATCTAATCTTTGGTTACTGACATTAGTTAGAAAATTCAGGTTAGCAAATGGTTCAAAAATGCACGTTACTTAGCACTTAAAGCCAGAAAGGTAAGCTTCATTGCTATATTTTTCTGTGTCATTTTCTTGTACAAAGTTTCAAGGTCTTCCTTTCCTTTCTTCGGGTGATTCTTGTTGTTTCAGAAATTGTGGTATGTTTAGCTCTCAAATAAAGAATTTTTGCTTGTCATTCTGAAAGAAACAGGATTATTGTGTCCTAATTTGGTCTTCTGTCTTTGTATTAACGGTATTTAACAGATTCCAAGCAGTTGGAACAAAAATGAAATTTGTCTTGATGTAAAGTCACTAAGTGACTCTGGTATATATTGATTATGTTAGTTTATATGTAGGGTAGGATGGCGTGGAAAAATGCCTCAGACATTACTGCACAATGAAGGAAAATGAATACGATGCTAAGTAGAACATATTTACCTTTGTAACCTTGAATAAGGAACATTGTTTTTGGGAGATTTAAGGATTTAACATTTTATTTTATAACCCGAAGTTTGTGAATAGTGAAAAAATTTGGTGGAAAAAAAAAAAATTTGTAACTGAAGCCTAGCACTCTTGATGGACATGTCTCACAGTCACTGAAGAAGACGCTGGAAATGTAGGCTTCGGTGATGCCAACATTCGAAGACATCTTATTATGCACCCAGACATTCATTTTGCGATAAACTCTGATAAAAGTTTAATGTGTTTTGCAGCAAGCAGAAGGAGCAGAACAGCCTCAGCGCATCACTTCTGGAAACCCAAAAGATTCTAGTTTACAAAATCCGGAGGTAGAGCATTTGACATCCAAGGAACCCACAAAAGTAACTTTGACTGAGCCCCAGACGAATGCTATAAATGACAGCCACAAAAAGCGCTTAAAGTCATCCCGTGGTAAACCTTTAAAGAAAAGGAAACAAGAGATATCTCCACCACAGTCAAAAGAAAATGGCAAGAAGGTACTTTTCTGTGAAATGTTATGTTCTCTACTAATCTGTGTGCTCAAGACTAACTAATTCTTAAGTAGAACAAATATATATGCAAAGCCAATTATGGAAGAAAACGTGCTAATATGTCGAGGGTGGTTCCAACTTCCAATGAAGAAGTGTGTCTAATATATTTGCCTTTCATCTAGCAGTTATTTTGTGGCAACTAAAACACAAAAAGAGGACAAAAGACAAAAACAAAACAAAAAAACTGATTATACTTCATCATGATTCCTGGGCTTTTGTATTGAAATAAGTGTCTGATAGGGTTTATAGTTACAAGTCTATTTGTTGGTGGCCATTGGGCTTTGCTCCAAAATTGGCTTGCTGGAGTTTGTGGAGTTCAGTGATGAGGTTCTAATATTGTTTTTTCAGGACTTGGTGGAGTTCAGTGATGATGTTAGCTTGAAGAAACTGTTGAAAGCAAAAAAGAAGAAAGTAACTTATAAATTTGAGGGAGACTCTGAAGCAGCAGAGTTCGAATTTGAAAGACTTGGCAAACTGAAGAATAGAGTAGACAGTATGATGCAAAAAATTCTTAAAATTAAAAGTCACACAGCAAAGGATTCAAAAGAACCCAAATCCAAAGAGCCCCTGGTTATATATGTACCTGTAGCCGAGTTAAAAGAAAAAAGTTGAGTTGTAAATTATTTTTACTATTTTTAGAGGGCAGGTTGATCTTTCATTGTTTGTTTTTTCCTGCCACACCTTTTGTATGATGACATTCTCTCTGGATATGATCTTACTTAATGAAAGAATAGCATACATAATGGGGACCTTTCTGTCAAAAAGGATCCAAATTTCTTATCCGTGATTCTTGTGTTGTTTGGTATGCTAATGGAAAGAAAATCTTATAATTTTTTAATGGATAAAGTATCCATCATGATATTATTTTCATGATACATTATTACATTTAACACCCGTTAATATTATTTTTTAGTTACATCCAACACTCTAATTCTATTTATGATTTAGGATGTTGGATACATTTAAAAAATAACATCAGAGTATTAAATGCTACGTTGCTTTTTATAATATCATAATATCATTTGTCATAATTATTTAATGTTATCCATGTTGTTCTGTTTAATCTTTAAGGTAGATATATGAAAATTATCTTATAATTATTACCTTTGGGTAAGAGGAGTCCAGTGGACGGCTGTGGAATCAAAGTTACTAATCACTAGAATTAAAATATCAAATTGGAGGGGAGATTCAAACCTTGCTGATGTTACGTGAACACTATTAATTGAGAATATATATTTTTTAAAATCAATTACGTCAACTCATAATGATGAGACACTTTTTATGTGGCAATTTTATTTCCGCAAAAGTCACAGTTCAACCATAAAGATTTGCATTTTAATTTAGAAATGTTGTGTAGAGAAATATAGATTGAAAAGTGACAAATATCGTCTACAGTTTCTTATTTAATATATTTCTAATTAAACTATACTAATTATAATTGTGTGTAAAATTTTTATAAACAAGCATGTGATTCTTGGATTATAAAATACACTTGAAATTTGTCATTACAAGCTACTCTCGTGGTTACTGAGATCTTTTAGGAATTATGTTATTTACTTAAGGCCTTATAGTAATTCTCCAATTTTATGGGGGAAAAAATATCTTCAAGCATTAACTATTTTTTACATTAAAAATAAAATACTATTTTATTTAAAATAAGATATTAAGAATCATTAAAATTTAAAAATATCTTTTTGTTGTTACAAAAAGATGAATAAAATGTACCCCACGTCCTTATTGTGCTTAGCACATTGAGTGATGCTGAGGGCCGTATAAAATTTAAAAGGCACAAACGAAAACGGAGAATTTTCATGTATATAAAAAATAAAGTTGAAATTAGATACAGAAATATAAAAATCAATTAATAAAAGCCTGTGACCAATATCATTAATAAAAGGTATATAATTCATAATATTTATATTATTTATAAATCATAAACAGAATACTTCTCATTCCAACTTATTCATAAATTGTAATATTTCAATTCAGACACTTAAAGAAGTCAAAATCCCAAGAAAGTAAGTAATGTCTAGCCTATATGTTGCAAATGTAGCCAAATGACTAAAATATCCATATATTATATTTTTTTTAAAAAAAACTATCAAACTTGTCATTATCAGTATATTTCTTATCATTAGTTGTTCAACAACTATCATTATTAGTTCACAATTTATTAATAAATAACTTGTTATTACCAGTACATTTTTTATCATTTGTTGTTTAACATTCACTCATCATTATCAGTTTACAACTTATTAATAAACTTTTTTATACAAGAAAATTTTTGTCATTTAACTAGATTTACAAAATACCAACTCAGGCATCACTTTCTTTCATGAGATTTTAATATCTTAAATACCTAAATTAGAATATTACACTTTTAAACCTCTTTTTATGTTATTTTCCCTTTATTATTAATGGAGTGTTGTAGATTCCGACAAAACAGAGCTGGTGGAGATGAATAAAGGCATCTTCCTGCCACCATAAAACCTACTTCTTCCCTTTTTATATATAAAATACAAATAACTAAATTATATAAATTAACCCAAAAAAAGAGAAAAATATATAATTTTTAACTAATGTGTAATAATTATTCCTCTGGTCCTAAATATAAAATATCTTATAGTGTAATTGATATTATAAAATAGGTCATATATTTAAGATTGGAGCAGTAGTACATAAATATGTAATTGATAAGAATGAAAAAAAAAAAGTGAATTAAATTTGTAGACATATAAAAAGCGTAACCTATAAAAATAAATGATCAATCCTACCCCGAAAATTACTACTATAATTTGCGTGTAGCATCGGCGCAAGTGCACAAATAGGTGGAATTTTATACCTCATTTTTTGTCTATTTACTTCCCTTGGATTAAAAATTACATATCAAAGAAAAAATAAAATCTATTTATGTAAGAGTTTTTTTTTTAAACTCTTCCTTCTAATTAATATCACACTATTTTAAATTTTAAGTACCTGTATTTAATATCCTCCAACTAAAAGGGATATTATTAGAAACAAATAATAATTATTTTGAAACTTCGAAGCACACCATTATTTAGGGACAAAAACATTCAAATAAAAAATGCAAATAGGGATGGTAGAATCCTAAGCAACTCTATTTTAAAAAAATAAATAAATAAATTTAACCTTAATTTATGCAAACCAATTTAAAATTATCAAGTTCAAATACTAAAAGGGTCCTTCTTTTTCATTTACCCGGGGGGGGATGTTTCAGCCTGCAGTCCTGAACTGTAATTTTGGAGAATTTAAACTCTAAATACTCTTCTCACCTTGTGGTAATTTCATAAGCTACTTGTAAAATGAAAGAAATTAAAAAAAAAAAAGAAACAATCAAGAAAATCAATTAAATTACAATAAACCAACAACAAAAAATTGCACAAAATCGTTCATTTCTATAGAAACACATATGGTCCTCAATTATCACCGTCCATCTGGATTTGAGCTGTGATTGGCCCTCCTCACAAATCGCCCCTGCCAAATCACCAACAACCTAAACATGTGTTACCCTTTTTTTTTTTTTGCGGAAAAAAGACAATTATATTAATAATAAATTTAAAAAGTACAAACCTACCAGTAGATAAAAAAGAAATTACAAAAAAGAAGTCTCATTATAATTAATAAACCCTGTCTTATAGATGCATTATTACTCCCTCCAATTCTTTTTATAAAATGCAAATAATTAAATCACATAGATTAAAAATAAATTGTATTTTTTGCAACTTACATTTAAAAAAAAATCTCACTTATTGAAAATGCGTAAGTGAGAGTGGGAGTGAATAATTAATACAACTAACTAAACAATAATTAAAGGGGTGAAAATAAAAAATAATACTAAAAAATTTAGATATGCTATTAGTGCCTCTTATGAATAGGAATTATTTAATTTTCCCATTTAAATTTTAACAAAAATATTATAATTGCTCTATTTTTCATCATTAAAAATAAAAGACAAACGACACAAACACAAGTCTCTCTTGGGAAAAAAAAAAAAAACAAGACATAAAGATAAATATTTAGGACGGCATGCTCATCAAAGCCTTATTTTTTAGGTTGCTTAAATGATTTGCAAATATACTCTTAAACCCTTTTTGAAAAGAGAAGGTCAATTCATGGCAGATGTATGATGTATCTCATGATTTCATCAACTACTACTAATATAATATGGGCCCACAACTCATCATAACCAATCACATATAGTTATATTCTCATATTAATGAAAATATTGAGGAAAAAAATTTACAATTACAATCGCAAATAGTAATTTAAACAATTATAAAAGTGAGAGTTTTAAGTACAATTTAGGAATCTGAGTTTTAGGAGTCACTTCAAGTAACCCGTTGCTTGTATCATATAAACTTATACCACATATTTTTAAGGACAATATGATCAAATTTTTTACATTTATTATGTTAAATTCTTCAATTACTCTTGTTTTTCCAATATTACTACCTCCGGTCCTAATCATAAGACCTAACTGACTAATTTGAAGAGATCAAGGAAAGAAGTTAAGTTAATTATTTGTAATAAATATATGTTTTTTTTCTAAAATATCCTTACTAATCAAGTATATTAGTTAAAACTATTATTGTTAGAAGGATTATCTTGGAAAAAAATACATAAATACGAGAGACAAAGTGGATTGGAGTCTTATATTTAGAACCAAAATAAAAGTCAAATAATATTCTATATTAAGGACCGAAGGTAGTACCATTTAATATTTTTGAGACTGAAGTGTTGTTCACCTTAAATTTTTAATTAAACTGAGCGAGTATTGGGAAAGCTATAGAAGTGTTTCTTAAAATCACTTTTTCACAAATCGAAAAAAACTCTTCTACATATTTATTTCGTATACCGTAAAATCATTTTTAAAATCATGATTTCGTTTCTATTCAAACACCCCTGAATAAAATAAACATTGTCCGAGGGGCGAAAGTGGAACTCCACAAGCTTGTTAAAAGTCAACCATACCTTCATTCTGGGCCGTTGATCAGCGTTGACTTTTCTGACTTGATATCTAATCTTCTTAGAGATGAGACGTGTCCGCCGCTTTTCTTTGTAGCGCATCACGCTCGCTTCCCTCACTCCGCCCATATTTGTCAGCAAATCTATATGGGCTTCTTGGGCCTGACAAAAACAAATTACTTCCAAATTAATTTTTGAAAACATAATTTACAAGACTTTTTTTTTTTTTTACCTTAAATACAAGAAAGAATATAATGAATCAAATTACGCACAAAGTCTGACATAAGACTTATTTTAAAATTTCTGTAACGCTATGGGTTTTGAAACTAGTGTTAAATTTTCCCCCAAAAAAAAATTGATATATCTATATTTAGATTTGCTTATTAGTAATTAGTAAATGATATTACTCCCACGCCCAATTCGTTGAGGATGGAACTCTTTTCTTTTCGTCTTTATCTTTTTAATCATACAAATAGTTTTGGTTGTTTTTTTCATATATATAGAATGATGATTAATATTTTCAAGATAATAAATGTCTTGTGTTCCATGAATCATGAGCTAAAAAAATCTCAATTCGCTAAAAAAAAATCTCACTTCAGATAATTTCTATACTTTCAAGGAATTGGAGAATTCAATATATCTTTTGAATTAGAAAAACATCACTACAGCCGTGAAAATACATGAGATTTAGTTTGCATTCCTTCGTTTAAGAGTCATTTTACTTGTAAATATCGAATAATATTCAAGAATAACATATTGTTTATGTGCAATAACAATATTATATGAAGTTTAATAGTTAACATTAACCCTTAAGAAAAAAAACACTAACTTGTTGGCCTAAACCAACACTTAAACTCATTTTAAATGGAAACAATGCAAATAAATTTAGGGCTACCTTAAATTGAAAGAATAAAATTTGACACAGGAGAAAAAAAAGGGAAAAATAAAGAAAGAAGAGAGGTACCCACTAAGAATTTGAAAATAAAAAATAATAATTTTCAATATACAAATAGTTCAATTTTCACTTTCATTTTTTTAAGCTGAATAACAATATAGAAATGTGGTATAATATATATGGGAATATTTTTTTTTTATTGGAGAAAGAACAGAAGAAAAAGGAAATGGGCAAAGAGCTTCTTGCAAGATGCAGATGCTCTGTTTCTCTTATGTCCAACCATAGAGATCAAACTTTCTTATTCTTGTTTTTGGATTTTGATCGGCCGGCGAGAGATGAGGAACATACATTGGCATTATTTCCAGGTGAATCGGAGCCACGACGTCCGTTGGCGAACGGCGACCCTCGGTCGGACCAAGCACTCAAAACGTCGTCGTAGTTCAGTTTTAACATCAGTTTTGAGGCATTCGATTTCGGAATCGAAATTGCTCTCAGTGATTTCATCTTCGTCTTCTCCGCCACTTTCTTCGTCGTCGTCGACGACGACGTTTTCTTCTTCTTCTTCTCCTTTTCCGCCGGCGCAGCAAATGACGACGTGTGCTTGTTGATTCTTGGCGAGATTTCCACTATGTCAACCGCCGGGAAATTCCACCAATTGCTGTCATCGACACGCCGGAGAGCCTTCACCAGCCCCAGTCGGAAATCGAGTTTTGCGCCACATCCGAATCCTGAGGAATCCACGCTCCAATTATTCCCCCCTTCGCCGTGACAGGATGCATCATTGGAATCTTCTTCAGCTCTGCTTCCAATGATGCTATCGATTCCCTCGTCGATCTCCTCATCGAGAATGGATTCGGCATCGAAATCTTCTTCGCAATCATCGTTTAATTCCAACGAATTCACTCGCGAGATAATCTCCCCGGGACTCTGGCACGACTTTTCTTGTAGATTCACCATTTTGGGATCCATTGGAGAACTAGGCTTGTGCTGAATTTGTTGTTGAAGGAGGAAAGAGGCAGCAGAATCATCGAAGACTCTGAAAGGCAAGAACAGTTCCTCTGCAGATTCATCCAGAAAAGCAGCATCATTAGGTCTGCAGAATTGGCCTGGTTTTTTGAGGTTCTTGTTGGAAAAGAGATTGGGATAGGCTGTGGATAGCAAAGCAGCAGCTTCATTGTAGGTTTGATTCGGTCTTTTTCGGGGAGCTCGAGATTTTCTGGTCGAGATTGTTAAAGGGGAATTGCTGGATTCAGATATTGTTGAAGAAGCAGAAGAAGTAGAAGATGACGATGTATGAGAAGGACGGATCAACGGAGATGGAGATTTCACAAAATCTAAGTCGAACCCGTAGGTTCTTCCACCACCTGCTCCAGTTAAGATCGAAGACATCTTTGCGAACAGGTATGAAGATGAACCTCAATAAGATTTTGAGCTCAAGTTCATAAGCTGAGATTGAAAATTAAACAGAATCACAGTTACCAGAGCATGAAAAGATCCTCATTTTCCCTAAATTGAAAAGGAAGAGAAAGCTAAATCACGTAGAGAAGGGTACAAAACCCTAAACCCAGAAAGTACAAGAAACAAACAGTGGACGGCCTTTTTCCTGAAAAATAACAAACAAAAAAGGAAGAAAAAGCCAAGAACTTTTAAGAGGAAAAAAATAATAAACAGAAGAACACCAGAGCCAGGATAAAAAACTCTGAAGACTCCACTAAAAACTTGGCTCCCAAGTAGTCAAACAAAACCGAAGAAAGCAAAATATAGGAGTAGGTATCCCAAATCGCTAGAAGAGTAATTCCCACAACCACCTACCCAGATACCTACCAAAGCTGTGATAGGTGCCTGGGTATTATAGAAAATCAGAAAATTTTCTGGGAAAAGAAAGTTTTCCAATAAGAGAAGGGAGGGCCTCAGTGTCTTGGGCAGTGATAAATTCGGTTGACTGGTGACAATACAGAGAGAGGAGAAGGAGGCGATGAGAGAGCACAGCACAGCAAGTCACCAGGAGAAGATATATAGGCAAAAAAATCTAGAAAGACACAATCTATGAACGCAGGCTGTGTCAAAGAGAGAGAGTGAGAGAGAAAGAGACTAAGAGAGGGTGTGGGTGTGTTAATGGCTGGAGGAGGTGGAAGAACGAAGAAGATGAGATGAGAACGGTGGAAGAGACAATGCTCAGTCTCTGCTGTTCCGAACGTGGGACCACTTTCTCACATTAAGCTTTATTTTTTTCCTCCTTACTAATTCAGCTGTTTTACACCGTGGTTTCACAAAAATGCCCCTGCTCCTTCCTTCCTGTATGGTATGGGATTTGGCCGGAAAGAGTCAAAGAAAGAACTAATAATATGAAAATCATGGTGAAAGGAATATAATTCAACTGAGGAATGAAGCAGGCCTTTTGTTTCTGTTCTTATTACTTTGTAATAAATATTAAATACATCATACCGTTGTGGCCTTCTTACTACTCTTTCATTAAAGATTTAATAACGAATGTCTTCTATATTAATTTCAATCATTTTTTTTAAAAAGTTCAGGTATTGATGATGAAAGCTCACAACAATCAAGATGATTTCTACGATTGAAATTTTATCTCTTATATTTTTAAACAACTGAAGCAATTAAGTGTAACTCAAATAAAAAGGTGCAAATTAGAAGGTGATGGCATGCCTGTAATATCGTGTCATAAAATGGGCAAATAAGTAATTGAGGGAATAAAATCTGGAGGATGTCCAAGCACGGATGTACCTTTGAGATTATTCCAAGTGTGCCATTCCAATTCCCTACCATCACCACCTGCAAAGCCCTTCTCGGGGGTTTATGGAAAGGCTTCTTATCTTGTGACGTGGCATTCTATCATTGGATAAACTGGATTCTTAGGGCAATCGTGGAAGACCTTTTTATGGGGTAAGGAGCTCCTGAGTTTTCACGGGTATCCAAGTCGGCTTTTGGGATTGGGAACTCAAACACTTGAAATATAATATTTATAAATTTATTTTTATAATTATAAAACTACTGTCGTCTCTTACATATGTTCACATAAAATCAGTGAATAAGTATTTTTATTTATAACTTACAAATATATTTCAATAAACTTTGAAATATACTAATGCTGGAGTGATATATTAATTAATAACGATAAAACATAAAATAATATGTATTAAAAATGAGAGTTTTGGACGGGTTCGGAGGAGCAATGATTTGAACCTTTTTGGTGGGTTTCGCATTAATCTGTGGCTCTCCGCCTCACTACGTTGTGCTCATTAGGATCATCGACTCAAGATTATGCGCTTCCAAATCTTTTAGCTTTTTGCACCAGTTGCCCCCGGTTTTCTGGATCTACACATTCTTCGCCCACAGTTTGCTATTGTTCACGTACACCCCTTTTTCGCTCGTCGACAGTACCAAACATTTCGGCTTCCAATGTGAATTCTATATTTGGAGTTGATACTGATCATATATATACAGGATCTATTTTATATGTTTATTAATTTTTTTTAAATTAATTTTATTGACATTTTCTAATAATAAAAAAAGGGTAAGAGAATTAAGAAAGATATTTAAAGTATTTAAAAAATACTATATTAGTTAATTTAACTAATATTCTTAATCTATTTAAATTAGTTAATTAGGTCTTATATTAAAAATTGAGAAATATTATTTGCCAACAAAACTAGCCTAATTTAGAATACCGAGGAAAAAGGTAATCCCTCTGTTCCTTATTATAAGAGACATTTGATGCTTATGACATGTTCCTATATATAAGAGACACTTAAAAGTTGTTTCTACTTTTTTGTATTGATTTCCTCTTTTATCCATATTTTTTATCTCCAACTCACATTCTTACTCCCTCCCACTTCTCTTTCTTTTAATAATATAATTGTTCTCTCTCATACTCTCTCTCCTTATTAATAAGGGCATTTTTGAAGAAAAAAATTATACTTTTTACACATTAATTATTTTTAACTAATTTTAACTATTTTTTTTATCAACGTACTTCGGTTATTTGTCTCTTATAATAAGGAACGGAGGGAGTATTAAAAAACAATATTTATTTAATGTTTATTTATTTACTTAGTTCTTAATAAATTGTCTTTTTTGCAACAAAAAAAAATCCAGGAAATAATGGTTCATATAGCATTCACCCCAAATCAAATAAATTCTCTATATCTTTGAATTTTTTGGGTAAGCAAATAACTTTGATTTTAATTTAATTAGATTTTTTTGGTAAAAACTTTAATTTGATTTTACTTTAAAATATATTTGATTATTCAATTCTTCAATTCTTACACTAATTAATAATGATATTGTAAAAATTACATCTTAATTGAAATGATAAATTTCCTAACTAAACAGGCAGCCTTGATTTTCCTCTTTTGTGAAAAAAGCCGTCACTGTGGAAAATTTCCTCCTTACAAGACTGAGTAATTTTATCTTATTTTGAGGTTTCCGATTTTGTTAAGAAAAATGCGTCATTTAATTAACAAAAAATATACAATTTTGAGATAAAAAATAAATAAATATGAAGAAAACAGTAGATCTCTCAGACTTCTTTATGCATCCCCACCAAAAAAGTTAAGCATTAACTCCTTAGCTTCTTTTTGCATGTGGGCGCAATGTCTCCTTTTTAATGTAGGTATTCCCCCAAAAAAAATCCGCTTATCATCTTTTGAAATTACTCCTTCTGGTTCTTAATATTATAAGGCCTCGTTTGAATTTTATTTTAGTTCTAATTATAATACTTCAATCTATTTTATATCTTATATTTATATATTTCTTTTTAAAGTAGATACTTTAATAATGATAATTCTAACAAATAAACTTGATTAGTAAGGATATTTTAGAAAAAACAACACATATTTATTATAAATAAATAACTTAACTTACTTTATTAATCTCTTCAAATTAGTTAATTAGCTCTTATAATTAGGATCGGAAGTAGTATTTTATAATATATAAAATAAGTATGTGAAAGGATTTTTGTCTTAATTTTTATGAAATCACTTTTTAAAAGTATTTTACGCCCCATCTAAAAATGCCTCCTCAGTCTTAAAATATTTATAGAGGAATTATATTTATTATCCTATGTATTTGGAAAATATCTAAAAACCGGTTGTCTAAAAGCTAATGAAAAAAAAAAATCAAATTGATCAATCTCATTCGTGCACTTGTAATTTAGATGTGTGAGCGAGTGAGAGATATTTACACACCTCATGCACCAACGCACACAATATCTTTTTCGAGATGTGTGATCCAGTGATTTCTTTCAAGGAAAAAATATATTATCTTCGGTTCCTAATTTAAAATTTCAACTTCTATTGAAAAAAAAACTTTGTAATTTTGAATTTTCTTTGAAAATAGTTATACATACCCTTTATTTCCATGACATCTTATATTTGAACTTATGTAATTTAATTAACTAAACATTACGTACACTTCTTATGCCTCCAAACCTAATAAAAATAATGAAATAAATAAAATAATATATACTTTCACTCAAAGGAAAGCCCTGAATTGCAGTTCATCTTTCTTTCAGATGGAAATTGAATTATAATTTATATACTTTCCTCAATTATAAATATATGATCTAAATGAGAGGTTTGTTTCGATTTTTTCTAAAATTAAACTTTAATTCATTATGTTTCTTAAATTCATAATTATTTTTACAAATCATCTATATTTATTGCATATATTAAAAAGATTTATATTAATGCAAATAACTTCCAATACAAATATTTTTTTATTAATAACTAATTTAAATATTTTTTAATTTATGTAAGTTAATTATCTAATTTCAATATTTAAAATTAGAGGAGCAATTCCCTTTTTCCTCCACAAACATGACACTGTTTTTCAAATATCTTTGTACTACCTCCGATCCTAATTATAGGAGCTAGTTGACTAATTTGAGGAGATTAAAAAATAAATTAAATTAGTTATTTGTAATAAATAAGTGTTGTCTTTCCTAAAATATCTTTGCTAATCAAGTGCATTGTTAAAACTACCACTGTTAGAAGGACTATTTTGAAGAGAAAAAAACATAAATATGATAGACAAAATGGATTAGAATCCTATATTTAGGACTAAAATAAAAGTCAAACAAGATCTTATATTAAGGACCGGAGATTATACTTTTCACCATACCCAGGCCACCATACTTTTTAGGGTTTTGTGGATAAGTTAAAGTTTAGAGAGAGAGAGGATAAAGAATGAGAGGTGTGATACAAGGTTGAAGAATTATTCAGTGAAAATAAAACTAAGGAGCTTATCCACACATATATAAGACATTGTAGTTAGAACATAAGGGCATTACTTGATGTATATTTCGCGTTACCTTATCTTCAAAAATGGGGTGACTTGGAATCCTCCCAGCCACCGAAGCTCTCTTCAGATAAACGCCCGCCAGTTGATGATGATGAAGTGTACGTAAGAGTGAGACTATCAGACTACATAGATACAATGTGACAAACCGTTACATGTACATGTGACTTGCATCTTCTATATGCTTCACTCATGCATCTGTCTTTTTTCTTTTATTCATATAATTTAAATCCACCTATATATACAAAAGCATGGTGACAAAGGATTCAGGCTAGAAACTTCACTCAAGCATAGGGGGTAATACCAGTACAGGAATAGCTACCATTGACTCAAATGACTAGAGCTGGTAATACGAGTTTGATTGTTAGTTACATGCTAGTCCGTTAAGGGTTGCAGACAATTCTGTTTGAAGTATCTTCGGCTACTAAATGTGGATTTTTTTTTAGCGGTAATTTAAACATTAATTTGTCATATTGTAAAATAAAAATAAAATAGGCCCATAGTCAAAGACACATGAGAAGGTCTTTAAATTAATAAGATGGATATTGCCAAATTTGATCTCGCTCATAATTTGAAGTTATTAGTATATGTCCTTTTAATTATAAAAAAAAGTTATTAAATTCAATAACATCCAAATGAGGTCATTTTTAAAAGATCTATGAATATATTACATGCAAAGGACTTGAAGTTTGGTTAAAACCACACAAACAAAGAAACGCAATCTTTCTAAAAACAAGCTTTTAGACACACAGTGACACAGAGTCACAAAAAAGATTTGTGTATGCACACATCACTACTCAGCTGTCATACTAGGCGGGTCGCTATCAAATAGTGGAACACAGTCACATGCCTTACAATATCGTAACA